GGCATTAATCTCTGAAAGAAGGAGAATCATGTTTAACAATATTTTTTTAAAGTCTATTACCTGCTTTTATTAAACTACATCTTTCTCATTATCCTATCATTTATCTTATGCTGGGATGTCAAGAAAATAGGTCTCTTCAGTTTCACTTTCACTTTTACTGCTGTTTTCTCAGCTTTGTGAATGAACACCCTCGGAAATAGAAAACTCAGAAAAATTTCAAGTCCATGATTCACTCTTTTTTAAAATTACCGTACATTTTCTGTTAATACTAAACCAGGATTGCCTTTTTTTTTTTCTTTGATCAGCCTCCTTTTAATTTGAAGAGACGTTACAAGCTCTGCTAACATGTAACTAAATAGAATGGTTTTATTCCATTGGTTTTCACAGCCGAAAAGGTACAACTATTGACTGACTGTTCTTCCACTGAAGAAAAACATCTTCAAAAATCATGAAGGGCATTGTCCAATCTTGTGCAGATTGGTACCTCTCATTCAACATCCCCATACACACACACACTTAGTATATGCTACATACATGCAGTGCATTAACACAACTAATCTAGTATATTTCCAAACCTGCACAGACTTCAGAGTTCTATTATTTAAATTTATAAAAAAAAAAAAAAAAATCCAGAAACATGGAAACAAAAGTAAGTCAAAGAGCCTCAGTGGCTACAGACCAAAACAGAAGTGGCCATTGGACTTACTTTAGTTAAAAGAAGAAAATGCATAAAGCTCCCAAAAGTCCAGCTCCCCAAAAATACTGGCAGAAAGCTCTGTCTGCATTGGGGTGCTTTTGTCCCTGCATATGTAAAGACAAAGAGCTGAGCCACAAGGTTGGCTCTTAGCTTTGTCTTTCACTGACTTACTCATACGTGCAGAATACATTTCGTCAAAGTATATCGTATAATGTACTCCCATGTTTGAAAACACAGGACAAAGAAATGATGCCAGGTAATAAGTCCATAGCTGAATGTTGCAGGGAAAAATCTCTGAAATAATGGCATCAATCAGGCAACATACACCTCTCAATTTACTTCTATACTGCAAGGATTTTGAGGTCAAATTAAAATAAGTATCCAGATTTATATGTTAAGCATAGGATTTCATTCATGAACTACATTTCAAATGATTTTCAAGCACTTCCCAACCACACAGATTAGTAACACAATAACGTATCCAATTCTGAACTGTAGAATGAGAAATAATTAATACAAATAATGCTGCCAGTTCAGCGTGGACAGGTTATGCCCAAGAATATTACTGCTCTTGCAAGGCTGAATACCCTCTCTGCAGTACTTAAGAATTGCTGCTCTTTACTCATGACTACTAATTAAGAAACAGATGCAAAGAAAATTTCCAGAACATATACTCAGTAAGGTTCTGGCAAAAATAAAGAACTAAAAGTAGAATGTTTATTGCTGGTCTAAAAATGCAGATCACAGAATGAATCAACAGGAAATCTGATGGATATTGCTTCACCTCAGGTTTACACACACTGGCAAGACAACACAGGTAAGCTTATGCAACCACACTTCAAAGATCTCAAGATTTAAGTCTACAAGTTTGCCTAGTCCAGAATGTAGCATAATGGTTAAGTCCCTGTACTGTAACAACTACAAAAAAAGACAGAAAACTTCAGAAGAATACTCAATATTTTTGGAGTTATCCTTATTAATGCAAAGTCTTATTTGTAACTAATATAAAACCTTATATGCTTGAAGACTATCTCAGAAATTGATCCAAACCAGACTTCATAAAGTTTCTAGACACGATTTTCCAATACAAGCTTTTTTGTGATGCACTTTGGATTTTAATATGCAATGGAAAAGTTCCTTCCAAGAATATTGCCAACAAATCACACATATAAGTTTGAGCTTAAAAACGAACTGCAATAATGCATCAAAAATATAAAAGCTGAAATACATTTCTTAACCTCTCTGAATTATAAAGCAAACATTCTAGCTCTCTTTCAAAGATGCTGGATCGTATATTATGCTTCTAGAAGATGTCACTGTTCTCTTTAACCTGACTGGATCCATTGTTAAAGTCTTATTTTGCTTACTTATACTCTCATTAAAGCCTTGAGATGCCAGGAAAAGATTCTTTTTAGTAAGATATGGCTGAGCCACTATTGATATTATACAAGGGATCCTTTTACCTCGTACTAGATGTTGAGAGTGCATCATATTGATCTAGGAATAAAAAACTATTTTTCCAGTAGTCAACCCATCTTCTCATCTCAGCACTTTGTTTTAAAGTTTTTCTGTTTGCTGCTTTGTTTTAAACAGAGTATAGAAGACAAAATCTATTTTGGCTATGTTGCTATATTTAGCAAGAAGAAACGGTTTACAAGCTTTTTTTTTTTTTTTTTTGGATGCAATTCAGGTAAAAACAAACAAACACAAATATGGCTGACTGTCAAATCTAAGCCAACTCTGCCTTTTTAAGTGTTAAAACTTGTGAGAAAAGCTATTTGCAGTAAAATCCCATATTCATTTTTATTTCATATTCAGACTAACATCTACTGCTAATCCTCAGCTGGTGAATTTGACTGATGTAAATGCTAACGTAATACGCAAAAGATGAAAATAGAAAGGAGCCTTGAGCACCAGAAAGAATATGTGTCTTAAAAATTCTTCTCATCTTCACCCTGGAAAGTCTTGCAAGCTCATCTGTTCCCGTTGTAATGCTATGTAATGATTACACCTTCTCCTTCGAAACGCCTTTCCTAATCATGCATATTTAATTCAACTTTGTGTATATACCCTACAGTTTGTATAGTCCTTCTATAAATAGACCTTCTGCATCCTGAATTATCTCCCGCGTTTTCCCTTAGATACAGTTCAACACTGGTATTTAGAATAGATCAACTCTGGATTTGCCAGCAATTCTTCCTGCTTCCATTGTGATACGGGCTTGCTCTCCTGAAAGGGGATGTAAGGGAACCTATCATTTCACAATGCTATCCTTTCACCGAACTGTTTCGCTACAGAATGAAACTAACTTTAGATAAAGGAGCCGGTTTAAACCTGATTTTATTGTCTGTGTTCCTAACCATTTTCTCCCTCTGATGGTTTCAAAGGAGTCTTCCCTGTGACTGCCTGCCTTTTGTACCAGGCATGAGCCTTTCTGAAATCCCGGTGACTCGCACGGGCTCGCATTTAGCAGGATGATAACGCACGTTCTGTGCTCACACAAACACACCGGCACCGGTGTGTGCCCTCGGTACGTGCAGAGGAACACACACCCGGCGCGGGCTCGCTCGCACCGGCCACCCCGAGCCGCGGCGGGCGCGGCGCGACCTCCCGCCTGCTGCCGGCCCCGGTCGGCCGGGCAGCCGAGCGCCGGGGCCGAGAGTCCGGGCAGCCGAGAGCCCGGGCAGCCCCGCCGCGCTCCCGGCCCCGCGTACCTGCCTCTCCCCGCCCCGCCGGGTGCGGGGCCACCGGCGGCCCCGGACGGCTTCGCCGAGCCTGAGGGGCTCCGGCGCGCCCAGGAGACGGCGGTTCGGCGCTGGCTCTGGCTTTGAGGAGCGCCTGGTCCCCACACGAGCCCCCCAGTCCTCGGCGCACGCCAGCCTGACTTGTTCCCCGCCGGGAGGGCTCTCCCCGGCCGGGGCGGCACACCCGGCAGCTGTGCCCGGCACGGGGCGGGCGCCTGCCGAGATGAGCCCGGCGGGGCTCCGCTCGCACCCGGGACACAGATACAGGAATTTATTCATTTATTCGGCTGCTTCGGACGAGCCGGTTGTCAGGGCTCTGGAGCCCCACAGCGCCCGGCCGCTGCCGGGGGGCAGCCCCGCTCCTCGCCGCTCGGCGTTCGCAACTCCTGGAGCGGGGAGGTGCGCGCGGCTGCCCGCTGCCTCGCCGTGAGGTGCAACCTCAGACTGGCAACTACTCGTCTGGGGGGTTCGGTCCCCTGGAAAGCCGGGTCGTGGGCCGCACGTTTTCCCCCTAGCTCAGCGGGCTGTGCCCCCGCAGGGAGGGAGCGGGGAGGAGACCCCCCTCACTCTCTCCCCCGGCTCTCCCGCCCCCCCGCGGGCACCGCTGCCCGCACAGCCCAGGGCGCCTCCAGCCCGCTCCGCTGCCCGCTTCCATCCGCTGCCCAACTTTTCCTGTCACGCCAGCGCCAGAAACCCCCTTCCCCACGCACGCACGCACACACACACCGGTGTAGTTTATAAATGACAGTTGCCTGTAGACTTTCACCAGACAAGCAGCGGGGGCAGCAGACTACAACAGTTATTTAATTAAAGACGCTTCGGAGGCTCCCAGAATAGCTCTCTACCTCTGAGGCGCGAATTCTGGTTTCCCCCTGCTCTCCCCCACTGCCTCGCCAGCCGCCCCCCGCTGCCCGAGCCCCGGCGGGGGCGGCAGGGACGGGCCCGGCCGGCGTTACCCGGCTGCGCGCTCCGCATTGCACAGTCATCAAAGTTAAGTGCGGGGAGGGGGGGTCGCGGTGAATCAGGAGGAGAGACGGGTGAGCAGAACTATTTCCACCTAGGCAGGATCCTTAATTTTTATGGGTCTGAATGCGTATGCAGCCATTTCCGAGGGAGGGGGACACGGGTGCGGTGGGATCCCTCTCGCACGCAGCCTGTCCAAACTCGCCCGGCTGCCTCGGTGCGGTCCCTCAGCGCAGCCGAGGGCAGGCTCGGGGCACTCCGCTCGAGTTGCCCGGCTGAGCACCGAGTTGCTCCCGGGCATCGCGCAGCACTCCGCGGGCTACGGCTCCCGCTCCTCAGCCCTCCTCACGCTCCTCTTCCTCACGGGAGGGGCGGGGGCGGAGGGAAGGGGCCCGAAAGGCTCAAGGGAAAAGGCTCTTTTCTCTCATTTCTTTTCTCGGCTAATTCAAGCCCCCCGCCCCGTCCCCACAACACACGTACACGCTGAATAGAAACACTTCCAGACCCTTCCTGCACACACTGGCACCACCTTCGTCTCCCCCGAGCAGCCGGGCGGGCGCAGCGGCGGCGAGCGCGCAGCACCGGCCACCTCTTACCTGGTTGTAGGAGGTCTCCCAGGAGGAGGTGTAGTTGTAAAAGAAGGAGGAGAAGCAAGCGTCTTCCGACAGCCCGCAGCCAGCCATCCTCTGGGAGCAAAACCTCTTCGGGAAGGCGCGAGCAGCCCTCGCAAACTCTTGCCTCTTGCGGGGTCGCTGCCGCCGCCGCTGGCGCTGTCCCCGCGGAGTGGTGCCGACAGCTTCGCGCTGGCGGCGGGCGGCGCGGTGCGTGCGGGGCAGCGGGGCTGGAGGGACGGGAGGCTGGATGGATGGATGGATGGAGGCGCGGGTGCCGCGTGTCTGTGCGTGTGTGAGCGCGGCCGTTCGCGGCGGCACCGAGGGCCGGGGCCGGTCACGTGCGCGCGCTCGCTCCGCCGCCGCCGCCGCCGGGGACGGGCCGCGCTACAGACCCCGGCACTGGATCACCAGCGCCGGGCGCCCTCGCCATGCCCGCCCGCCCGCCCGTCCCCGCTCGGCAGCGCAGCCCTGCGCACGGGAACGAGGGGCGCCTGCAGGACCTGCGGCCGCACCGCGGCGGGGAAGGAGCAGGGAAGTGGCGACGCGCGTCCTCCCCCGCCGCGCCGGGGCAGCGCCGCCGCGGGCGGGCCCGCCCTCCCGGCCGCGGCCCGGCCTCCCCGCCCCGCCCCGCGCCCGGCCCCGCCGCGCAGCACCGCGCTGCGCTGCGCCCACAAAGTTGCCGCTCGGTTCGCAGCCGGGAGGGCACGGGTTCGGCTCTTCTGCTGCAGCCCGGCCGCGGGAGCCCGAAGGGAAAGGGATGGGAAAAGCGGCGGGAAACTTGTCCTCAGAGCCCCCAGCGAGCGCCCGTCCTGCCAGGTGCGATCTGCCCCGCTTTCTCCTCTCGCGGGGTGTTTGCCTCAGCGCCCTGTTTGCGAGGAGAGGGAGAAAAGCGGGATTTTGAGGTGTTTTTTAAGCGTGTCAGTGATCGTAGGAGCAGCCCCGGGACCGCACCGGCGCCCCGGGGCACACGGGACCCTCCCGGGGCCGCGGCCCTGAGGGAAGGGAGCACCTGACGGCCCGTGCACCGTCGTCACACTGCTCATCGGACACGGCGAGTCATGCTGAACGTGGTGATTTTAAAGTATTTGTCAGGAAATCAGCGGAAATAGATTGGATTACGTTGACCCTGCTCCTTGAGTATTCCTTATCCTGCTTGCAAACCTGGCAACTTGAGAGCGATCCTCTGACAAGGGGAACATTGTCCTCATTAGCTAGCACTGATAATCACAAAACTCGGCTAATTATAAATGTAAAGCAAGTAATATAGGTGGGTTTTTTTTCTTCAGATTAACTGTTCTTTTTCATGAAGGAATATGTTCTTCATATTTAAAAAATACTCTGCTTCCAAAGCATAGGTGGGAGGGACAGTAGTTTGTTGAGCAGCACCCAGTTGTCATTACAGCCCACAGCTATTGATGGAAAAGACTAGACAGTTCTGTAGCACAAATGATCCAAGGCCCAGTGAAGCTCCTCGCTCCCCCTCAGCTAATACTTCAAGGAAGAAAACGCCATTTAGTAATAGCCATGGAATCCTGTGGCCATTCCATTTGTTGCGGAAACAACTGTGCCATGAGTGTAGAATACTGTGAAACACACCTGAGTGTAGTAGAAAGTCAGTATTTTGATGTTGAGTTGATGTTGTCCAAAAGGCAACTAGCTAAGAATTCACATCCAGAGGAATTTTTGTCCTGTGTGAGATCACAGAGCCTTTCATTCTGCCCTAAACCAGGTAAAAATACAACAGGAAGGATCTCAACAGCAGAATATGGAAACTTCATCAGAAACAAGGTGTTCGCAATAATTTGTTTCTCAAATTGCTTCAGTATTTTCTTTCAGAGACTTCATCCTGTTTAGGCTGCTCATCAGTCCCTAAACTTACATGTTTGCGCTTTTTTTCAGCTTTTCAGACAGCAACAATTAAGGCATAAAATTCCTCGCCACTTCACCATCGTTCTTGAATTTCCTTTTGTCTGAGGGGTCCATGTTCAAAGCATCTCACTTTTAAAATTTTAAGCAACTTGACATTGAATGTTTTATCTTCATATTAAGTCTCAGTGCATTCCATTAGGACGGTGCTCTAGCATAGCCTGATCTTTGAGCTCTTTATTCTGTTCTGGTAAATTTTGCACTTTCTCTCCCTGCTCCCCCCCCCCCCAGTATCTGATGAGTTTATTCACTTCAGTAGGTTTTACCCTACTTCCCTCTCCTCTAGTGACAGATATACTATCTGCCTCTCCCGTGCCATGTTCTTTAGAAGTCTTAAAACAGATTATGTGTTGTTAACTGAGTTTTTTTCTTTTTCCGTCAAACATTGTTCCTCACCCTGCTGTTAACCATTTGGTCTAGCTAAAAATCTCTTCATTTGAAATTCAGAGAGTTCTCCTGGGGGGCCATCCCTGGTAGGAGGTTAAGCTTAATTGCACAGTGATCAGTTACTAATGGAGATCCAGCTGTAGTCTTTGCTGATAGCTGAACTACTCCGAACCTGTTCAAGGCCTCTGCAGAGCACGCTTCTGCTGGCAGCCAAACAAGATCTGAAAACTTATTTATAGCATTATGTGTTGCTCCTGCAGACCATTTGTAGATGTTTTCAGTCAACCAGCCATTACAGAAATAGCTAATAATCTATTTGTCCATCGCATGAGTTAGCACACTAACATCATTGTTACTGCGACGGTGGTGGTGAAGCAAAAAAACTTTGTATGCTGCTTCTATTACTAGAAGTGTGTAACCAAACATAATAAAATCCACAAATAGCTCTTGTCTAATATCCCATCCCAGTGCACTAATAGCTCCATAGAAAAGATGCTAAGAGTGTATTCAAGTTCTGTGGGCAGGAAGGAGTAAAGTGGAGATAAATAAACTCTTGTAAAGGACTTGGAAAAAATGGATTGGTGAGGGGTGGAGGAAACAGCAGAAGCCACAAAATGTTTGAAAAACAAAAGTAATCTCAGGATAACCATTAATACTCCATCTGTGCTGAAAAAAAAGAGGCCTGGTGCAGATGGAACAGAGAAAATTACTCAAATTTCTTCAGAGACGCATAATACTGTGCAGTTAGGATGTGCCAGAGTACTAGATAAAGGCTGGCATAACAGCTAGAAAGGCATCTTATTAAATACAGTCTAGAATTTAATTTGGTTTGCTCTTTGCTTACATGTTTTCAGCTTAAAGATTTTCAAAGTTTATTTAATAAACTAGAAACTGGAGGGGGGGGTGAGGTGGAGTTTTTTACCTGCAAACCTATCTGGTTTGGGAATAAAGTAAATGAGGATGGAGGTTTTAAATGGGGCTGGTTTGTCTTCTCACCGACAGCACATCCTCATTCCCATGAGGCTGTTGCACTGTGTTGGTTTTGGCTGGGATACAGTTAATTTTCTTCGCATTAGCTGGTGTGGGGCTGTGTTCTGGATTTGTGCTGAAGACTGTTGATAACACAGGGATGTTTTCATCACTGCTGAGCAGTGCTGACACAGCGATAAGGTTTCTTCTGCCCCTCACCCCACCCCACCAACAAGCGGGCTGGGGATGCACAGTGAGTTGGGAGGGGACACAGCCAGGAGAGCTGACCCCAAGTGACCCAAGGATATTCCATGCCCTGTGACATCATGCTCAGCATATACAGCTGGAGGAAGAAGCAAGAAGAGGAGACACTCAGAGTGATGGCATTTGTCTTCCAAGTCACTCTTATGTGTGATGGAGCCCTTCTTTCTTGGGAATGGATGAATACCCACCTGCCCATGGGAAGTGGTGAATGAATTCCTTGTTTTGCTTTGCCTGCATGCACAGCTTTTGCTTTACCTGTTAAACTGTCTTTTTCTCCCTTTTATGACTCTCTCCCCCATCACACTGGAGGTGGGGAGGGAGCAAGGGGCTGCATGGACCTTATTGCTGGCCAGGGCTAAACCATGACATGCACGGAGACGAGACTGAGGCCAAGGACTACTGTTTGAGCCAATAATAGATCTGGTTTCAACAAGTGCCAGGTTTTTGCAGAGACTGCTCAAAGAGTAAACCAGTACCCCATCGCTACAGGCAAAAGCCAGAGGAGCTTTCTTTTCTTTATGCAGTGATCTCTCTTCACAGAGCAAAAGTCTATAATATCAGATATTCTAAAATGTTAGATGCTGTCCCTGTATCTTATTTGCAGGTAAAAAAAAAAAAAAAGACTGTTTCTACTTAGCCTATTTGTAAGTGCATAAAAAGTCAATTAAGACAGTTCATAAAAATTAAAGAGGAAAGGCTTTAAAAGTCCACTGGTAGGTTTTCTATTAGGCTAATACTTTAAAGCTTCCTTAGCACCTTCCATCAAATTCTTTCATTTAGCTTTATGAACACCTCTGGAGCTATGTATTACATCTTTTTAATATTTGAGGAGATCAATAGTTTAAGTACCAGACCCTTGAAAAAGTCAAGCAACATTGTTAGACAATGTTTATAAAAGCAATTGGTCCCAGAGGAGCAAAGGCCTACTTAAAGCAGAAATAAGTGGAAATTTCTGAGGTTTTAGGTTTTTTAGGTTTCTATTTAACATTCCAGATAACTTGTGTCTATAATACATAAAAGTAAGATTAAACATAACTGAGAATCAAACTACAACTGGATGAGAACACAGGAACCGTGGTCACCTTTAAAACAGCTTTTTAGTGTTCTGCGCTTTTTTTCCACTGGTTTCTCACTGTACAAAATTCAGAAGACTGTTTTTCACCTTCACATGGCTACACAGCTTGGAGCATGTGTTCTAAGCTACCTGAGAGACATGGAGTTCCCAGAACAGCTTCCACATGTTGGATTCATCAACCACACCCACAGGAGCTACAGGTGCAGATTTTCCCATATTAGCATAACAGATCAGGATTAATCAAAATTCAGCTTTTCTAAAGCATCCTGGAATACCGCTCCTAAACTTCAGTTACACAACACCACTTAAAAAATACAAGGTTCTGCTGAATGAAAATTGCATTCAGGAAACTGGATGTCATTGAGCAAAATACAGAATTAGACACTTCCCATCCCCTGAACAGTAGAATTTATCAGAGCCAGATTTTTTTGAAGTTCCGTTATGTCCAATATAATTCTCTGGATTGCACATATCACTGTCATATCTGAATACTTTCAAACAGTGCACTAAACTAGGTAACCAGCATCTACTCGTTCTTCCTCTCATCAAAAAGGCAACAGTACTGCGTTGGAGTCTTTGCTATGTATGGTGAGAGAAGAAATGCTCAAAGGAACGGTCCTTAAAGCAGAAAGTCTTGAGATTCTACATGATTATCAGTTACTGTTGAAGTTTCTTTACCATCTTGTCATTACTGCACAGACAGGTTTTTCCCCTTATTTCAAAAAGTTTAGTTACACCCAAGAAATAACTCACTGGCTTTGGCACTCCTGGTCTCTATCCCAGAGCTGAGTCCAGGCTGTTAAGAGCCTTCAAGAAGAATGTAACTAATTTTTTCTAGCTTTGCTAGATGGCAAGGATTGCATATGCTGCTGTGCTTCATCCGAAAGCTAAAAAGATAAGTGAAGATGGATGGCTGCTGAGATAGGATAGCAGCTCCAAGAAAAAGAAGACAGCAGAAAAATAATTTTTTGTCAGTGCTGCTATGGGAGACCATCAGAAATGAGTAACAAGGTTCTCTAAAGCCATCTACATGCAAAGAGCAATTGAAAATACACAATCACCAAGAAAACGGTACATTTTTCAATATGTTTTGATCTCACCACCAGTCTATTATTTGCCTTGCCTGAGTTCAGATTCAGTTGCTTACTCTTCATCCATGAGCTAATTCCATCTAAGCAATCTAAGCATTGGGTCATCGTGGTAATTGAAGTTACATGAAACAGGCAACTGAATGAAGTAAAGCTGATTATTCAAAAGGAAAGAAAAGGAAAAAAAAAAGTGCCAGGAGTTTTAAAGCTAGATTACATGAATTTTTGCTCATCTCAAAAATGCAGGAAATTATTTTCCTTGAATTCTGCAAGATCAAGTGTGCTACTGATTAAAACTTTGTCTACTGAAGTGGAAGAGCAGAACACTGATGAGTTTGATTGTCCTGCAAGCAAGATATTTTCAATGAGACTGTTAACAAAATGAAGCCACTATGATAATTTAATTTCTAGTTCAGGCCTTCCAGCAGCTTTTCAACATGAGTAATCTCCATCAGTTCAATACCCCCAAAATTATAAATAACAACCAGTGAATATGTGCCATTCAAATGTCAGCAGGCATGAACTTATGAGGTAGCTCATAACTTTTATAGCCTCACCACCAATTAACAATGTAAATAAATTACTAAAGCCCTATCAGATTATAATTTCCCCAAAATAACATTCCTGTGATTATGTTTCTGTGATTATGGCTATGAAGTAACTAATCAGAGGAGGGGGGGAATCCCAGAATAACCCAACTTAGCAGGAATCAAGATGGTTGGCATGAGTCCCTGCCTTTAGTATAAAGTATCTTCACATCTGAGAATACCCCCCAGCTATTCTGCCTGCTTCTGGGTACATTTGGCTCGTTAGCAAAATACTGAGTGATACAACAGGAGTACACTCAGCATTATTTTACCAGTCATGGTAAAGATGTCATCTCAGAATGGATGCACTGAAAGGTATGATGAGATCTCTTGTCATCGCTCAGATAATGAAAAAGGCAGGAGGCTTCACCGTTCAGCACATTATTCAAAGCTGATTGATAAAGCAGTAGCACCTTCTCATCACAAACTGTATTACAGACATTCCAACAGTATTTGGCAACTCCTTTGGCACTGTGCGCTGAATCATCTGGGGAGGAACGTGGAGGAGGGAGGAAGACAGACTCTCTGCCACACACTGTACAACTTGGGGGAATTGCATTTAGCTGTCTTTTGCACAATCCCAAGAACAGCCTTGATCAATACAGAATTCCATTTTTACACAAGAAATACCACAAAGAGGCAGCAAAGCCCCAGAAATAATTGATAGATATTTCAGAGGGATTTGACAGAACATTAACTTTGGATTTCTTCACTGACATCACATTACTTGAGCCAATTAAAAAAAAAAAAAACTATAACAAAAAACAAACCAAACCTTGCTAGGAGAAAACCTAGGTAGGCATTAGTACCAGACATGGGTTTGCAGCTTGTAAGCACATGGACATACTGGCCAAAATCAAGGGAAAGAGAAATCATTTTGCTTAAAGCCAGTTAGAGTGAATGCAATGAAAAGGCAATTACAATGGTTCTGCAGTTTTTACTCTTTTTTTTTAATGTTGAAGTTTTGTAAGTAATAAGAACAAAGATTTGCTGCCGCCTTTGTTCCTAATTTAGGAAGTTCTGTTCTCAGTCTAGAAAACATAGCATTGATAGAGTTGTTTTTATGATCAAATTAGTTTGATCAAGAGACTGCTAAAAAAAGCAAATTAATTTCTGAAACCTCACTGTACCTAATGAGAGATCTAAACATTAGTCTCATATCAAGCCAGTAGACTACAAACGTTTGGATCCTTAAGCTTTACTTGCAAAAATAATATCCATTGCAGGCAATTATAGTGTGAAGAACAAATGTGATTATGAAGGAGATCACGAAGTAGGCCATTACCATTTCATATAATTGAATATTTTCCTATTAACTTTTCCTTCCACAATTCTCCTCCAGAGACAAACAGGTTTCTGTAGGCTGCAGAAAAATCAGAACTCCACCACCATGTTACTGTGCAGCCTCGTATTTGAGAGTGCTTGAGAATAGAAAGAACAGACATTTGAACAGTGTTTGGATTTACACAGCAGCAAATCCAACAAGGAGCTTTAGAGCAAAAACTCTTTAACACTGGCTTGCTTATACGGAGAAACTGTTAATTGTCCATAAATTTACTGAAAATTAAAGGTCTGTTTTCAACAAACAGGGTACATATTCTGGTGAAAATCAAGACTGGAATTTTAAATTCTTGCCAATTCTTATATTTCATTTCTGCTCTTAATAAAATTATTTGTTTAAAGTGTGTAGAAGTAATTTGAGTTTTACTTCCATTATATTGTGTAGCACATTGGGACAAAGCTGTCAGCTCCCTCTTGGACAGAGAGATGCTCAGAGGAACATGTTGTGACTCACACTGCGTCGAACCTGCTGCTGCTGCTGCTCTACAAATTGTTAAGCCTTTCTGAACAAATTGCAAGCCTTTCAGGAAGGTTCACAGGGCATTCATTTCTTTAAAAGGACAATACTATCCCTGTCATAGTGAAGGCTTATCAGTTACTTGTTATTCAACACGCAAAATTCAACAACCTCAAAGATATCATTCTAAGGTTTGAAAGGTCAAATTTAGTTTGCAAGTCTTTAAAATCGTACATGAATTTTGCTAGCAAACACCTGCATTTTCATAAAGCTGAAAAGGGTGACATTTTTCAGGTTAAAACTGGTTACTAATATAAGTAGAAGTGTTTTGACTACACAGCTGAATATTTAAATGGACAAAGTATTCAGGAAATAGGTCCACCAGCAGCCCTCCATTCTGTGAAGCCCAGTAAGTACTCGATGCTCTTGAGTGTTTATTGTTTACGCTACTGGAAGCAGCGAGGCTGGGAATATTAATGTGATATACTCACAAAATAAACACTGGATTCAAATGGAAGGCAAGAGGCCTACTTTAGCTGAAAGAATAAGACCAACCCAAAATAATACATGTTTAAAGCCACAGGAAATATTTATTATCAACATTAATTTGTGCTATGTTTTATTTTTCTGTACAACAAAACTACTGCATAGCTTTCACAGCTGGAAGAACCACTCAGAGCCGAGATGTACACAAATGAAAAGTATTTTATCATCTGTCCAACATACATTCAGTGTTCCTGAGAAACTACCATATTTGAGTTGAAACTGCAAAATCAAACACCTACAATCAGCAGAACTAGACTTGTTACCGCTGCTACAGGAATGTTATTTTTACTGCTGTTACCATATTTAGTTTAATCCCTTGATACTGGAAGCTTGGATCTCTTTGATGCCAACCACTTATCTCAAACACATCAGTGCAAATTAGAGGCAGCCCAAGCTTGTCATTTGCAAAAGGAAAAGCGAAGAGAGGGGCAAATGCTCTCATAATGGTTTCATTCTGGTTTTAAAGCTGCTTGTTTCAAGACCAAAAATATCTCACATTTGTATTACTGGGGAATAACACCCAGTTTTAGGAACAGTTCTAGGAAGCATACACACCCCAAAACAAAGCTACCAGGGTCAGAAGTACTAGTAGAAAAAGGAACTAGGTTGACCAAGTAGATCATTTTTCCCTCTGCTTCACATAAATCTAATGTCACATACATAGTCATGAAGTTAAATAATTTTAAAAGGTCAACAGAGTACCAGAGTAAGAGTATACTTCTAATAGTAAAATATGTTTATGTTTATTATTAAAACCTTCAGCTGTTCTAAAACCAAGATAAATGTCTACTCTTTACAAATTACAGTAAGTGAATAAATCTGTGTACTTTAGAATATAACTCTCTGCTTTCTACTGTCATAGTGTGGTATGGCTTTTTATTGCTATATATTATCAGAAAATGAACTAGAGCAACCTGATTACAAATTAGTAACTGTAGCTTGACTGGATGGAAGAAAAACTCTTTGCCCTTTGACTTCTGCTAAGGTATCTTTTCAAATTACACAGTGAAAGCTAATTTCAGCATTTTTGCTTTAGGCTGGCAAATACGGCAAATAATGAGCAGTTCCCAGTATGCACTGTGTAGCAGTGCAGGTCGAAAATCAGACGTCACAAACCAATGCTGTGTCACAGGCCCTGATCCGAAAAGGGAGGTGGTGATCAGAAATGGTGGCATTGCTCTGTCACGAAAAACTGACCCAGGTGATACAGAACGCACCAACTCGGACTGGCCCGTGCCAACTGCTCTCCAGCTTCAGTGAATGGGCACAGCACAACAAATGGAGACACTCCTGTAAGCCCTAAAGGAACTTCAGCACCTGTCTTTTGCACTGCACTGCACAGAGATCTCCCAAAATCAAGAGCGCAGGAGGTTTATGACATCGGGACACGGCAAAGCATGGAGTCACCACTTTTTCTTTTCTCTGACAAAAATTCTAATTGCTATAAAATCCCTACAAATCTAAACACAGTATAACTGGTCACTTCTTTATGTCTCCATAATGCTGATCATACCTAAACCACATGTACTCAGCCATTAGTAACTACCTCTGTATCTAACAAACCTAAATACACTTGTTACATCACACCAATGATTAGCCCTTTTACTGCTTTGAGGTATTACACAGCAGCACAATTACGATGGAAGACTCTCCTCTTTTCAAAAAATATACCCCTTTCACTTAGTACTGTTTTCCTATCATCTAACCCATTCTGTATTTTCAGAAATCCCACACTATAAATAGTTTATTATATACAAACCATGTATTTTCAAAAACCACCAGAATGTCTATGATAAAAAGATTCACTGTAAGTAAGCAAAGACCTTTTAGACCATTCCAAAGCAGATAACCAGCTAATCCTAAGGAGCCATTCCTCAGTACTCCAAAACAAAAATGCTTACACCCTGGCTGGCAGCCTGAATGCTCTGCAGTAGCACCAGTAGGGCAGGGAGCACAGAACAGCAAATGGCTGCAGCTGGTGGGGGCAGCCCTGTACTTTATCCGGGATCCCTCGCTCCTCAGGCCAGCAGGAAGGGTCTTGTAGTCAGTTGTGGCATTTCACAGGACAAAAACCAGGGGAAGCTGAATTTCTATTTGACACCAGCAAACTTGATTTCCAACTCTTCCCCCCATTTACTGCATTGTGCAGTATAAGCCAGAGCTCTGATGATGGGCAGGACTGCGAGTATCTGTAACAGTTTTAAAGAGAGGCAGTGACCTTCATATGCTCGTAGATAAAGCAGCCTCATTCCTACACCTCCTTCTTGGTTTCCTTTTGTTCCTCTGGGCAACCTTTTTTTGACTGTGTTCCCATCAGAAAAATGGGAATGAGGTTTTACCTTTCAACACTGAACTTAAGAAAATCCAGGGCTATTCTCAAACCCAAGCTCCTCTGCATGCATCTGCTGTACCCCTGAGACAGCAGTAGCAAAGAAGGTGGCTCCTGATACAAGTTTCCCTTTCAGACCCAGGAAACACTGCTTGAAGAAGCCCTGCTGACCCTGTCACTACTCCTTCAGAGAGGGCCAGTAACTCCTTAGATACCTGGCTCCCGTCCCACCGCTATATGGCTCTAAAATTACATCAAAAGTGGGATCTGCAGTAACTCTAAGGAGTCCACAGTGATTTAAGTGAGTTTGTGTTGCTTCTCCCCGAACCCTTGAACACCCTCAGTTATTTGAGATCAGTACTGGACACAGAACAGGCTGCACATGCCTGCACAAAGCTGCTCCCAGCCCGGGGCCTTAGCGAAGGAATGACTCTGTGCAGCACACGCAGTGCCCTTGAGAAAACGCTTTGTCAGTTCTTCGGTAAGGGGAGCGTTTTTCAGAGATACACCGGGGTCGTGCAAGTACCAAACCCACTGGGTTCCCCACGTCTAGGTTTCCGTATATTCCCAAAGCACTAGTCCCCAGATTCCATCAGGGTCCCAGCAGGTAAGCTGTTTCCCATTGCTCGCAACTGTCAGGAGGGGAGGGGGCACCGGGCCTGCTCAGTCCCCAGTGACAGCTGGGACACCGACAGCCTTCCAATTCAGCCATGACACCGGTGCCCCCCGGGCCTTCAGGTGGACGGCACAGGTGTCACTGGCTTAATTGGAAGGTGTCAGGGCTGCACAGCTGCCAGAGGACATGGGTTTGGCCAGCAGAATTTGCATTCCTGATAGCAATGACAAAGCGAAAGATCCCAGGTCAGCTGTCACAGCCCAAGCTGAGTTTGTGGGTATGACAATTTCAAAAAAGGAAAAAAAAGAAGGGCCAAAGTCTCTCCTGTGTCAAGTTCCACTCACGGCCATTGCCATCTGCTCCCCCATCCCCAAGGACCTGGCTATGGCAGCTTATGCCAGCTGGTTCTGGGGTTTCATGCAGAGAACTGGCTGTTTGTGGCCCTTGCCAGACCTCGGGAAAGTTGTGCAGAAGCTGGTTCTACACAGTTCGGCTGAAAGCTGCACACGAATTCTAGAGAAGTTCTCTTACCTGGGGAGCAGCCACTTTTCAGCACTGCACAAAGCAGCCCCTCACAGCGGGGGATAAGCAAGTCATCATGAAAACCCACATATCCGGCCTGAGTCATCCTAGAGCAGGAATTTGCAAAACCAACATCTGTATGTTTAGGAATATTAGTATGAAATCCAGTTGCTTAAGAGGTTCAGAATTCCCGTTTTAAATAAAAACTCTTCCAACTGCAGTCAGAAAACTCCATCCAGTTCAACATTTTATGCAGAGTCAACCTCCCTCCTTCCTACTGAATATGATTTTGTAAGGCAGGAAGAGTCCAGACCCATTCCACAATGCCTGAAGTGGGGGAGATCCTCCACTCCCTCACTGTCAAACTTGAGACAGACTTCTCAGGTCCCACTGCATATTAAAAATTAACTTTAATTTTTTCCTTCACAATTACTGTTTTAGTTGCTAACTAAAAAAGTTTTCAAAACTTATCTATTCCACATCATATAAATAGCGTTTTAGAATTTAGAAAAAAAACCAACTTGGAATTAGAAGAAAGTCCTCAAATTATTCCATTCCAAGTAATTTTATAGTCCATTGCTATGATTTAAATAGGATACACCAAACATCAGTGCTCAGGATTAGTCTAACTGAGGTTAGTTACCAGCTCTCCAAATATAACCTATTTTTACTTCAGCCTTAGAGCATGACAGCACACAGCTCTCTTCCTGGGGGAACCAGTTTTAGCAAGAGCTGATCCAGCTTCTCTTTGCTAAAAGGACCAAAGCTCGGTGTATTCCTTGGGGAGGGAAAAACTGAAATCTGATCAAATACATTAAAACACAGAATGGCTTGGGTTGGCAGGGACCTTAAAGATCCAACTCTCCTGCCATGGCCAGGGACACCTTACACTAGACCAGGTTGCTCAAAGCCCCATCCAACTGACCTTGAACGCTGCAGGGACTGGGCATCCACAACTTCATTGGAAAACCTGTTCCAGCGCCTCACCACCTTCACCATACAGAATTTCTTCCTTGTCCAATCTCAACCTACCCTCTGCCAGAGTAAAACCATTGCCCCTTGTCCTGTCACTGGTAAAAAGCCACAACTCATTCTTACAAAACCTCTGTAAGTATTAGAAGTCCACAATAAGGTCTCCTCCTTTTCTTCTCAAGGCTAAACAGTGCCAACTCTCTCAGCCTGTCCTCATAGAGCTCCTCAGGTGCTCCAGCCCTCTGATCAAATTTTACTATAAATTCCTCATGGGATTAGCCTTCCCAAATTGAAAATGCTGTCAAATCGTACCAAAAATCCCGACAGAATTACAACGGTGCAGTGTGATCTGACCTACAGTGTCACTTATGTTACTGTTTGTGTTGATCCTAAATGGTCCCTGAACACTGCCCAGCAGGGCAATTCCTAACTCGCCACAGACACTCCACATTACAGGACACATTACTACAGTTCTGTCCAAGAAATATTTAGGGCTATGTTTGAAGAAAGCATTCTCCTAACACATCTGCATGCATTTCATTTTTCCTAAATAATTTAAACAAGTTTGCAAGGGATCAACATTGTATGCATTATGCTGATGTCATCATCACTGTGCTGCTTAAACATCCGCACTTTTAATATTAAAATATTAAACTACTGCCATGTCAATCAAACAGCAGTTTACTGGGAGACTAAATGGCTTCTCATATTTCAATCAAAACAATAGAAATACTGACATACTGTGGCACAAAATTAGTATAAATAGACTTTATTGAAGTCAGTACCTTTGTACTGAAGCTGAAGATTGTGTCTACAGAAGCACAAGTTGTAACATTTCACAACTTCTAAAAGGAATGTCAACAATTACAACGATCATGCATACCATGGTCGATAATCACATTTTTAGAAGCATTTTCAACCATTTCTAAAGAAATGCTTATAACATTGTTATATATAGAACTACTTTCAATAAACTGCAAAACATTGATTAGCTTTTCCAGTATGAGCTACAGTGTCAACACAAAAGGGAGGCATAAATGTTTAATTTATGAAATCAGAATGGAATATTTACTGTAAAGAAAAATTAAAAAGCTTTCAAATAAAGGCCATTATTGAACCAAAGTGAAGAGCACAACTTGAACTTTGAATCCTTTCATCTCTTAAAGCTGTCCTCTGAATAACTTCAGTTCAAAGCATAAATTCAGTACTGTGAGTATTCCTTGGACTGAAGTTTGGCAATGATGCGATCCAACTGTCTCTTTGCTTCGCACTGTGGAAAATTGCTCATGTCATAATATTGAGGGGCAATTTTCACCAGCCTGTCAAAAAAGGAAAAGCTTGTTACTGATACTCAAACTTTAAGATGCATCTTAGAGAAATTCTACAGCTGAGGGAAACAAAGGTTATCCATTATTTTAGCTCATTCTGCAATTCTAAGTTTGCATTTTACACACATGCACCTAGAATCTCAGTGCCATCCTGTGCAAGTGCTCAAGTCCAAAGCAAAAAGCGTGCACGAGTCTCGTGACACGGCCTGTGCAGCCACTGCCCTTACAGACCCTCACTGCTGCTGCAGTCCCTGCCACGGTGGCCCACACAGCCAGAGCTGTCCACGGCCGTCAGCCACAGAAGTCCACCAAACGTCAGTCTGTGTCTGAGTCCAGTTCAGCCTTAGCGGCTTTAAGCTTAAAAATACGACTAAGGCCACAGGATCCTGCTTTACACTATACAGTGTTTGTTGAGAAAAGATTTCTAAGGAACCACATTTTCCATTAGGATACTACAAGCTATATATGCTGTGCTTTCCAGCTTACAAATCTTTAAACTCTTCCTGCACAACAGTAAAATTTCAGCAACGGAAGAGCCTCCCATGTCCCCAAAGCTTACAACTTGGTAGTTTAGGTACAACCTTAAAGACAGGCAAGATGCTTCAGATCTCTCCTTGTCTGCAGAGGTTCAGGCCTCTGATTTCCTTGATATACGCTTGCTGAGGAATAAATATCATGACAAGGCAATTTGTACCACTGTTACCACCTCTTTCTTTAGTATTTAAAAAAACACAAAATCCTGTTCAGATCCTTCTGAAAGAAATCAGACAAGAGAAGTCCTAGATCTTGAGAACAGAGGTACCTACTGGAATCTCTTAACTCAGGTATGCAAGTGGGTGTTTGGACATATACCCAGACAAGATCTTTCCGAACAGGCTTACTGAAGTAACTGGTTTTAAGTCAAGCATCTCTCTGTGCACTGCATACAGAGCCCAGGCACCAAGAGTTCTAAACAACTCCCACAAACAGGCACAAGTATCCACAATGAAAACCTTTAGCGATCTGTAACATCTCAAGTCCATGCCACTGCCATTCCTCAAACCATTCTAGTAAAACTGGCTTCAGGAAGAGTGAAAAGAATTACCTCAGGTTAAGAAAAGGAGAAAGAAAAACAAGAGCTGTACAGTAGATCACGACTGTTGCAAGACTTCAGCTTACCATTCTGGCTTGATGTCTGTACATGTCCGGATGTAATTCTTCGTTGTAAGGACAAACTCATTATACAGCACCCATTCTGGTTTGTGATCAAGAACGGTGGAGGGATGCAACTGCACCACCTGGTTATCTTTTACAGTTAAGTAATGCCCCGTTCGCTCCAAATGTGCCACCTAAATAAAAAGACATTCTTTCATTACCACAGGCAATTTTTAAATGAAGCAATTTCAAGCAGATTGTTAAGTGTTCTATACAAAACGTACTATCCCAACTTTGAAACCCCCTCTAAATTTGGCACATTACTTGACCACTTCAACTATTCATGGTTTTTAATAGACACAATCAAGATGCCAGATGTTTTTGCTAACAGTCATGGTAAGTGTATATTCTAATATACAATTCAAGCAATGTACAAAAATAGATATCACCCAAAGAGAAAAATCATTATTGGAACAACAGCAATGCAAACACAAGAACTGCAATGGAACTGGACAGGTTTGCAACATCACACAAAGTCAGCTGTGGTCTACTACAGACATCTGCTTCAAGCATTTAATTTGCAGTAGCCACTGTGGGACCAGTAAGCCACAATGTTATCCTTTTATGAGAGGTCTTGTTACAGCATGAGCTTCAGAGCTGGAAAATGTAGGTTCAGCAACACACTTCTGCTGTGACCTTGGTGAAAATCAATTAACCTCTCTCTGACTAAGCTTCTTGCTCTATGAAAGGGAATAATGCCTACCTTGCCGAGATGCTCCGATACCAAATCTTAATGAGCTAGGTAAAGCAGACAGTTATCCTTAGAAGGATATCCTCTGTACAAACAGCTAATCTAACGGAACAGGTAACTCAAATTAACTCTTTCATATCGGAAATTGAAGATCACTTCTCCACTCATTACACATACACACACACAAATACTGTAAAAAGATTAAACAGGATGGACAATGGGTGAAACATATCAAAAAGACACATTTTAGAACAGACCATCATCAGCTGGTTTCCTTTAATACAGATGTATACTCACTCTCTTTTTTCTTCCTTTTTTTTTTTATATTTCTACATACAGCTCACTTGTGGTTTTTTTTTGCCTAGTCAAAAGTGAATTCCACCTACTAGATTAAAACCCCAGGACTTCTAAAGCAATAGCTACCTCAAATTTCAGCTCAGAATAACTCCTTAGTAAGGAATTACTTATTTTGAGTGTGCTTCTCTTTTATATATTATGACATTATTATCCAGAATATGTTTTAGGAATAGAACAAAGTATTTCAATAGACTGCAAATCTTTTCACCCAAGATTTGAGAGATTACACTTCTACTTTATTTCAAGTCTGGGAAGCCAAGAGAGATTCCTTTAAATGGAGATTAACAGCACACTGTCTTTAACGATTTAGGCTTAATTTCATCCAACTCAATACAATGTTTGCAAAATTAAATAGCAGTATAGCTCCAAACCAGACTAGGCTAGACACTCATCTGTCACAGACCTAGCACAAAGCCAGCACACCATGCTGTAGGATTATGATTTTTTTTTAAAGGATGTTCTGTTTGAAATCAATTTGATTTTTCAGATCAAAAGTACACATGCATACAAAAATATCAGAGTGCTTTATCTGTTCCAGTTCTTCCTAGAAAAGGACAGAACAAATCATTTATTTAGTTTTCATTTTAGAAATGCATGCTGTGAAATTCAATACAATTTACCTTTAGCATCTCAGTCTAGCTCAGATGTACTGAAGTACTGAAGTCTTATAATCTACCTTTCCCAAATACATACAATTTGCTTTTTCATGTAATTTATAGTAATAGTGTAGAGTTGTACTTCTTGATTAATTTGTACTATTCTGAACTAAGTAAAAAGATTTCAAAATAACTAATTAAGCATACTCAAAGAAAAATGCTACAGAAACATACAGAGAGCTCTGAATTTCCAGGGAAGGACAAGAATTGGAATAACACCAATTAAGAAGAAAATGTTTCCTTAGACCATTGATATCAGGGATTAAGCCACCTTTAGGTGGTTACATACTACTGTGACTGACTTCGATCCCAAGCCATCACTGACCCACAGTATTTATCCTATTTAGATGTTTCTAGAACTTGTGCCTGTTGCCACACACATCAGTGAAAAATTTCAGGGTCAGTAACAGCAACACTATGAGAAATACACAGTGTAGCTCTGGCTCCATAGCAAGCCATGGTGATGTGCCAGCTGCTGCATTTTCCTGCTCCCTCCTGGGCTGAGCTGTTCCAGCACAGCTGACAGAGCCCATTCTTGCTTACCCTTTGAAGGTGTAAGTGGCCTGCCAGGTCGCTGAGCTGAAAGAATTCAGAATGGCTCAGGCAAGCACCAAGGGTGGCACAAGGGAGCGAACACTGACACATGGGAGGCAGCATATATACTTATGCTCCTTTGAAACCCTGGCATGCAACCAATTCCAGTGCCTGCAAATGCAGGGGTAGTTGGACCAGGTGTCCTCCAGAGGACCCTTCCACCTTGACCATTCTGTGATGTTTTTCATGGAAGAGAAGCCCACGAGCTTCCACAGAAACCACAGGGTGATACAGAGTATGCCTAGTAAATGGGTTCATTTTTTGATGAGCAGTGGTAGTGAGCAAGATACTGTGGAATACACCTGAACCCCAAGATCATCAAAGAATCTGTTACTAGTATAAAACTTTTGTGAATTAGACTACCTAAACATGACTCTAAAGAGGTGGCCAAGAGTCAAGCCATCTCATATACCTCTGGCAACAGATTAGTCTGTAGCCCCAGAAAGCCCACCTGACTTAGAGACAATTATAACACTTTTAGCAACACGACAAACCCAGACAGCAACAGTGGCACATGCCACCACAAGAAAATGTTTTAGTTCAAGTTCTTGTTACAATTTTAGTAAAAATTACACATTCTCCCCTCTGAAATATTAAATATGCTTGTGATTATTTATTCTCTATCATGTCATTGAATCTAGAGGCCCAATAAGGGGTCTTTAGCCAAATATGTCTAACACAGTAAATACAAATCCATTTAAAAGGTCAAAAGCAGAAATACTATCACAAGATCCAGGCTTTTTATATTTAAGGCTACAAATTTTGGCAGGTTAGTTTTTACAGACAGTTTAGATTGTTCCTTGTCTGTCTTTCTGACAAAAGAATATACCAGCATGCACCAAAGGAGCACTGTCAGTTGCCTGGATTTCTAAAATTTCTGCAATTTCTGCTTGCAGCACACACAAGAGTGTTTCTGAAGCTATTAAAAAGTTTTACACCGTTCTTCTGCACTCTTAGAGTAAAATGAATAACATTAAATGCACCAGTGACCACCTTCATGTCATAGGTTTATTTTATTACCATCCTACTATTGTAGGAGCCTGATTATGTGAAGACTTCAAAATATATATAATTCCATACAAGAAACAGCACCAACAACTGAGTAACATTAGGAACGAGATTTTAATTAGTAGGCAAATCATCTGACATCTAATTTTCTGTACAGTATTGGTCATTTAAGTTATCCTCCGTAGTGACCATGATATAACCTGTGTTTGACTAAGCCACATCTTCTAGAAAAGGTTCCAAGTCTGTATACCTTTGTGTCCAAGAACGCCAATGGCATCCTGGGGTGCATTAGGAGCACTGCCAGCAGGTCAAGGGAGGTGATCCTGCCTCTCTACCCAGCCCTATTGAGGTGCACCTGGAGTGCTGTGTCCAGTTCTGGGCTCCTCAGTACAACAGAGACATGGAGATCCTGGAGCATCTCTCCTATGAGGAAAAGCTGAGGGAGCTGGGCCTGTTCAGCCTCATGAAGGGACAACTGAAAAGGGACCTCATCAGTGTCTATCAGTATCTGAAGGGAAGGTGTCAAAAGGATGGAGCCAGGCTCTTCTCAACGGTACCAAGCAATAGGATAAGAGGCACTGGGCAGAAACTGATGCACAGAAGTTCCACCTGAACATTAGGAAGAACTTCTTTACTGTGCAGGTGACTGTGCACTGGAACAACCTGCCCAGAGAGGTTGTGGAGTCTCCCTCACTGGAGATATTCAAGAACCATCCGGATGCAATCCTGTGCAATGTGCTCTGGGATGACTCTGCTTGTGCAGGGAGGTTGGACCAGATGACCCACCATGGTCGTTTCCAACCTCACCCATTCCGTGATTTGAAAACACCACAGGACTTGCTTCCACCTTTGAATTCTGATGTAAATTTTCATTTATCAATTCTTGTTCTGCCTCCAATATTAGATTGGAAATACAACGATAAAAATCAAAGTTCTTTATGACAACTGGTAAAAAACAAAAAAAAAAATTACCAAGAGGAAGGTAACTCATCTTTAAGATATTTTGTCATTTGCTTCCCTTTTCCTATTCAATTTAAAGTTTCCTTCGCTTACTTCCTGTAGTATAACTTTTTTTGCTTACTCTTTACCACACAGTATTTCTCTCACGTATTTTAATTTCAGTGAGCAGTTTCTTAGCAATTTTGCAAGTATCCCTTGTTCTATTTTACATATACTTTGCATATTCTGATGTGCAATACAGAAATATATTTTTTAAAAAGTTTTGCACTATAAAAACTGTAAGAAATCTCAGATTTAGCATGAAAGTTTTACAAGACACTTCTTGTCAATATCTATCTTTTCACAAGTTTTACTATACACAGAATTGTTGACAGTTCTAAACTATTCTAACTACTCACTTTGCTTGTCTATGGCAGATTTACTGGAATTCAAGTTTGCATTTTAATATGAAGGGTAAAGAGATGATCCATCACCAACAGAAATTTCACATTTATCCATCACTGACACTGAATCGAAGGCAGGCAAACATACAGTACTTAGTACTGATTATGTAATTAGTAGTGTTACGGCAGTTAATACAGGCCTGTGCTATCTGACATCAACCACAGGTCTTGAGTAGTACAGAAGATTCTACAGTGCAATTTTATGACTGGTTTTAGGACAATCAGGTAATTACCAAAGTATAAAACAAGGCAGCCAATGAGAACTATTTCAGGACAATGGCTGCTACTACTCTTTCCAATTCATACTGCATTTTTAAGCTTAGAGAGTTTGAAGAATCGCTGCCATGTGCTGTCCACAGACTTAGTAATTTACATACAGAAACTATCTGTGATACATGCACATGTTTTGCAAGGGCTCACACCTGGACTTTCACAAATAGTCTGTACTAAGAGGACAAAGAATGATGTATGCCTTTCATTCCTTGAATATTCCAAACAAGAGCCCTAAAATGCCAGAGTCTGCGCATCGGCTCAGAGAGGGTATAACGCATATAGTGGCTACACTTTTGAGTACTTCAGCTGCCAGTAAATAAAACCTCTTGAGTATTTATAATTTTTCTACTGAAGGTTCCTCAAAGCAACATGGAATTCATGACAGAAGGTTCAGAGTCAAGGTCAAACACGTATCACACTATCATGGAGGTTAGTGAGTCAAAGAAACCAAGTAAAATGGGCTCTAACACTTTAAAGCAGAAGAGAAACTGCTGAAATGGTTTCTATTCCAAATACCTTCAACAGGTCTGCCACAGTTATCTCTTGATTCAGCCCAAAAATTCCATTAGGCATTGTGGGTGAGGGAGGTGGTAAACAACCCATTCACCATGGAAGCCCAAGGAGACTTCTGGACAGGCTTTAATTTTCATCTGTGTGAACCTACTTCTCTACTCACAGCAAAAATATGAGGTGAGATCTTTCACTCCTGAGACACAGAGAACAAAACGCTACCTGCATCAACAGTGCAGTTCCCAATCCATGGGAATAGGTGTTTTCTAATAGGAACTCTTCTAGAGGAAGAGTTTCACTCCGAGTAACATGAAACAAACTTGACAGCACACCAACTTCCAAGTACGTGAGCTCTCCAAAGGTCCAAGTAAGTGACAGAAGCCACAGGGTATGGTGCCAAACAGAAGCGCAGCTGTGACACAAACCTGCCCTAGGGCCCAAAATGGCTGTTGGGCAGAACTGTTGTCTTTCAAAACACATACAGAATTAAAAGTGTAGGTGGGAACACTGAAGTGTTTCCCAAGAAACATGCAGAAAACATGGCCCAAATGCAAGGACCAAACACAGTGACTAACCTGCTTGCCTGAAAGGTTACAGCAAGCCAAGCTTTAGAACCATTTTAATATTTAAAAGCAGCCAACAGCCTTAATCTCGTATTTGCATTACAGTAAATGCAGTTCCTGACATTGATATTCTTGTACTCTAAAAACCCAGAAACACATGTGCTGCAGGCTGCTGGCTGAGCCCAGGGGAAGGCACTGTCTCCTTGGTGGGGGCGATTTAAACAGACATGGTGCCCAAGTCTGTGCCCCAGTTCAGATGTGCTTCATGGGTGCATGTCAGGTAAATGGCAAGAGTTTCCAACAGCATACATCCTGAGATTACAGACCTGCTCCAGTACTCCAGTATCTGACTCACAGAATTTAAAAGTGAACCGTAAGTATGGAAAAGCATGCAAGGGAAAATACTCTCCTTCTAGTAAGGATCACATATAGTTAATATTTATATACTACTATGCTTCCCTGTTTTGTACTGGATTGCAAATAATTTAGAACTACATATTCTGCACTTACTTAGAAATCTTCATAAGTAACTTTGTAAGTTACTTCCTCAGCTACTCAGAAGTTAGTGGCCATCTCCTGACTGGTCATGCCAGGAACGGTATTTTGATGCTAGTAAGACTGCCTACAAATTCTCTTCCAAATGAGATTTGTTTAAAGAACATGCTACTTGAGTAATAACCAAGCAACCTGACAAAGACTAGGTGGCAATATAGTTAGCCATGAATAATTTAGGTAACATTCATTAAGTTTTGACAAATTATAACAACCATGCTAACATTATGAGCCACATAAACACTCAACACTTCTCATAAGTTCCCTATGAGAATACACACATACCTGCATGAAATACCCAGTAACTAATGCCTTTCTGATGTTGATGTAATAGTCTCGGCTGGTAAAGTCTGTGCTTCTACGGGGCAAATTAAATCTATCCATGATTCGTGACAGCTGTTGGCGTACATTGTCTGCAGACATCAGGGACCTGTAGTTAATGAAGTTGTCATAACACCACTGAACCGACTCATGATCTGTAACATTAGAAAACATGAATCAAAATTAGAACATGTAAATAAAACAGCAACTAACCAACTGATCAGTCAGATGGACCAGAAAAAAATATCCATAAACTTTTATAGATGACAGCAGCTTTTAGTTTGTTCATCTGATTTCTTGTATTAGGTAACTTGCCAAAACTGTTTTCTTTTCAGGAGGCATGTGGTCAGGACAGAAGAAAATCAGGTTTTTTTCTCCTCACCAACATAACATACAATCACTGATGTTTTGCTGAAATACCACACACCACTAAACTTTGGACATTACGTAACTTTATGTAAGGAACACTGCAATCTTTAACTGTAGCATGCGAACACACAAGATGATTGTACAGAACTCTGCTGTATTTGAGAAATAAAATCTCCTTAAATTAAGCACTCAAGTAACAGTTAAGAGCTATACAAACAGACTATTTTAACGTGATGCAACCTCACAGCAGTTTAAGTAAATGTAGGTGGCTGGTAAAATACAGTAACTCTTTACTCTCATGCTACCCTTCCTACTGCTGTCCGTCTAGGAAGAAATCTGCTCAAACAGCAAGCCTCTGCCATGCTGTCAGGATAAATACCTGCATGTTTCACACTCCCTACCAATTCTGTTACTTTTCAAGTAATGCTCTTCTAATCTTTGTCAGTTTAATAATCCAACAAAGCTTGCCTTAACAAAAATTAAAACTTAAAGGTAACTCTTGTACAGAATGAGACTTTTCTTAATTTGCATTGAAAAGAAGGAAAGTTGTGTAATTTGAGGTAGATCCAAGTTCTTTCTGCTCTTGTACAGTTAGGATTCTACTGTATAGTGAAGTACCATAGCATGTTACTTTCTGAGCCACCTGAACTGTGCATCACAGATAACCCATAAGTGTTCTGCATTGTTCTAGATACAAACAGTAACAGCATTTTATCTTCTGATCCCAGAAGTCAATTCACAATTTCACAGCAAAACTGAACAAAAGATGATTCCCAAAATAATTCCATCCCTCAGTAACCGGAGTATGAAAGCAGCAGCTTCCAGAAACAAGCCCACATAAGATGTCTGCAAGACATCCTGGATCATATTAACTAAACAGCTGACAGAAAAACACAAGCAACCCGACCCCAATTTACAGGTGTTTAACAGAAGTTTCTCAGCTATTGTTTTAAACACATGGAATAAATTTGTTTGGACTTTGAAGGTATCCTTATTTTGGATTGTCACGTGATAATAGTGTTAGAAGGTTTCAATACAGATTTTCTAAATCAAAAGTGAAACAGAAAGGAGCACTAAGTTGCAGGGTTTCTACTCAAGGTAAAAGACTGTTGCTTTTTTGTTTGCTTACAGGAAAATGTAAGTGGGGCACATAATTTACTCTGGTTGGCAGTTAATAGTAACCATTTTATCTGCCACCAGCATAAGTCACTTAAAAAAAGTGTGACACTTAAATAGTCATTTTTCAAGAGCACTAGCTCCACCTGTTCATTCCTGTATTTTCCAAGCTGCTAAAATATCCTTCAGCTATGCTGTGGAGGGACCACACATTTTCCCTCAATTCCATACACAGAATTAACACAAGTTAAATAAACGTATTGCATAGTTCTAAGTTACTTCTTGTTGATGCATCATCTCCTTGCCTCTCATCTATTCTAAAGCCTTATTACAGAATTCCTAACTATAACAGTTAGGATTAAAAAGGTTTTGGTTCTGGGAACACATCCTTCTCCAAATTCACAGCATTTTCTGCACTGCTTTCCCTGATAAATCACTAAGCAATTATGCAGATTTTTTTTATAATTAATGTCAGTTAAACTTCCAATATTTCTTAATTATAGGAACACTTGCTTCCTTCTGTCCAAGGTTACCCAGCATTATCTAAAAGCCTGGCTTGTCTCCATGCTCATCAGTTTATTACGTGATTTCTTGGGTAGTTTTTTTGGTTTTGTTTGACCCCCAAAGGCAAGTAGAACTTAAACAATAAAACCCAAGACCAAGCCTCTCAAACCACCCTTGGAACCCAGGAACGAAAGCTGACAGCACAAAGCATTATAAATAATTTTGCTAAAACAGACAGACTTACTTTGCTTGAAAGCATGGTAGACATTCAGCAACGTCAAATGATCTCCATCTATGTGGGCAAACCTCATCTTGGCTTCATCTGCTGCTTTCTTTGCTTCCGTGGGGCGAACAAAACACTGTGGGACTAAACAAGGTTGGTATGGGCCCAACACAAACGCCCATATCGATGAGTCACGCATTCACAGATAGAGGAACAAGGCCTAGCTAGGTCAGTTCACAGAGCATAGGGCAGGGCAGGATGGCCTCCAACTGCATCTTGGACTGTTTACTACCTTGATTTGGTACATCAACACCTAACCACATCTGTAAGACAAGAGGGTTTCAAAGCTACAGAGTACCTGATTATTTTAATAGAACTATATGTAGGCATCAAAATCTCTAGTCTGAAGGCCATCAAGATTATCTACTGGAAGGCTGAACGGATCTTAGTTCAAAGCCAGTGCTGATAGCTCTACCAGGAGCTAGTACCCCATGGAATAAAACACTTTAACTGCAAATTTGCTTCTTCAGAAAGCCCCTACAGACAAGAGTAAAGAAGATAGTTCTGAAACTGTACTGCACAGTACAGTCTAAACAAACATGAGTTCTAATTATCAAAGGTCTGTTACTAGCCAGAACACACTAGTCAAGTCAGTCTCTTCCCCGATGGTATTGTTATCAGCACTGGTATACAGAAACATGTGAATGAAGGTATTCGTAAGTCTAAAGGTTGTGATGGTAGCGGTAGTGGTGGAAGGTTAAACTGTCCTTTGGCATTACTTCAAATGAAAAACATATTAAAAAAATGCAACACGATGAGCTTTCTCCTATCATTTTATTCTCTTATTCTACTAAGTTTGTAAGATTGATACTAATTCAGGAGATCCTGAAAGTACTTATGTCTGCTGGAGCAGGGAGGTTGGACCAGGTGACTCACTGTGATCCCTTCCAACCTTACCCATTCTGTGATTCACTTTACAGAGATCTACACCAGAAGAACAACCTGCTGTGTTTAAAGTAATGTAATTTTTAAGAGGTTAAATTTCAATAAAATTAATGCTAAGATGCTATAAATTCTTTATCTGTTTCCATCTGTTTGGGACTACATTAGCTTTTTCATAACTGAAGCCCAGCAATCTCATGAGAACACCTCTTTGCATATGATGATCTATCAGATGAAGGTTTTTTTGTGGGGCGTTACGTGGTTTTACTTTATTTTATTCTTAAATCTGCATAAAAGCCCCAAAGCACTAAATATGTGAGCTGAATACTGGACGGAACTTGAGAAAAAAAACACACACTGCAACAGTGAATCACGCAGTAACAAATCAACAAAGACCAGTGCATTAAAGAAAATGGAAATGCAGGTGTGAAATAAACACCCTGAATAGTGGGTCCTGCATTTGAAAAAAGAGATAATCTAATTTTAATTTCAAACTCAGATTAATGAAAGCAAAATCCAACTTACTCTATCACTGTCTAAACTCACTGTTTTGAATAAGTAATAGTATTTTCCATACCACAGCAAGACACCAAAGCTCTTACAAAATGAAGTACAATCATTTGATCTACTGATTTATTCAATGCTGGCTTTGCTCCTTTCTGGTACCTAGTTTCCCATTCAGTTCAAACTTAATACACGGATTGCTATCCAAAGCCTGACAATCTTTATGAGGACTTTAGGCACCAAAACATATAATTATGCTGCTGGTTTAAAAAAAAAGTGCTTGCTTTGGGAAATAGTCCTCACAAATACTAGGATTATGTGATGGGTTTTTTCAAGAGTAGTATGTTAGTTATAACACATATATTAACTATCTTCAATCCGTTTTTCATTTTTCCCAAAAAACTTATTATTCATTATATTACTTGTGCCTTAAAAATAGCTATCATGGCCTGGGAAAAGGTAAATTGGAAAAGGAGTAAGGCAAATCAGTTGAAGGCCATAGACAAAAATATTAGACTGACTTGTTCTATAGTAGATACTGGGGAGAGAAGGGAAGACAAAGACAGGGACCAACCTACCACCACCTCCGCAATTAAGCCTACCATTTAATTAAAAGAAATGTTATGATTCTGCCCTGCCCATCTGCTCTGAGTCTGAACAATCATAACTCTGCAACAAACATTTTATCTTGTTCTTAAAAACTTTCATATAAATGTACTGTAAGACTAAACTGAAGCAATAGATTTTACATTTAATCAAAATGGGTTTTTTTCTCTATCCAATCAAGTTAAGCATGTCAGCAGCACACCTGTGCTGTGGACAGCACTGGTAAAATAGCACACCCCAAAGACAAAAAAGTACTTAGGAGTAAGAACATCCCCATTTGTTGCTTTTCTTATGACCTTTAACTATAAACCAACATCAGTTCTACTAACTGGGAAATTAAATACGAGGTTTGTGTGGTAACATTTTTCTCCCCATCAAGCTCTCTCAGCAAGCAGCTCTGCTCTGACACGGAGCTATTCACGTGGCACAGCACCAAAGTACAGCTGTGCACTTAAGTCAATTCTTATCAAGACACATCCTCACCCCAAGTTTCTTTTTTCCCTTTAAAAGTAATGACTGCTCTCCAGTTTTGCCACTTAATGACTGAAAAGTGTACTTCATGTACAAGCTTGTGGCTTAATATAAATTAGACTGTAATCCCTTTGGGAATACTGAGATTTATCAAAGTGCAGAGGAATGCACAATATATAACAGATGTCACTGCCTTATATTGAGTGGCTGAACTGATGTTTCTGATCCTGTCTATAAGTCTGAACAGAAATTTCTGGTCCACTACCCTGATTCCCTCCCCCCACCCAACAACTCAAATATCTACACTTTGAACTGATATGAGGAGCAAACTCTTTGACCTTTTTATGTGTGTTAATTTCTTAACATTACTACTGATTAGGTTCAAGATCTCTACATAAATCTGTAATGACTGAACCCATATATGAAGTTTTAAAAAACAATTCTAATTTTATTAGAAATACATGATTTTTTTTATGTGGAAAACTCATATTTCCCCCAAACTGAAGGTCTGCATTTTGTTTAATATCTCTTTTCCTGCTATTACCTGACAACATGGCAGTAATAGATAGGACCTCATTAGAACAGTTGTAGTCACAGCTTGCAATAACCATTTTAGCCAGCTGTGGGTCCAAAGGAAATTCAGCCATCATGGATCCCAACTCAGTCAAGTCTCCATCATCATTTAAAGCAGCCAGGTAATTTAAAAGCTCTAAGGCTCTCATCAGAGTTTCAGGAGCTGAAAGAAAAAAGTATGTAAGTAGGCACATTACCCAAACTGCTCTGAATCAGCAAAAAATGAGGAAGCACAGACTATTATAAGCTAGCTTTTTTGTTGTTGTTCTCCATTCACTAGCATCCAAACGCAAAACTGCTACCAAATTCAGTAATACACACCCAGGTGTGAATGAGCAGGGGTGGGAGGAGGAAACAAAACTTCTTTAGAAAAGTTTTAAACTTAATCACAAGCTTTAAATATTTCAAGATTACTGCTTTTCAAAATTCAGGCAGCAGTGGCATTGTGACATATTCAGTATCACAGTAATATCACTTCCTCTCCCTGCAGATACCTTTTCCCTTGTTCCATACCAAATAGTTCAGTACAGCCCTAGAATCTCAGCCATGTCAACTTTAGGTGCCTACAGTCTTTCACAAAGCCAGCAAGAATGTTCTCTAAATCCTGAATTTCTTATACAGAGTCTGTATTAACCCACAAATTAAAACAGAAGGAAATTCAAGTATTCAATTATTCTGTAGAACTATTTAAAAGCTTACAGACAATGTTGTATTTTCATTTGAGCAGGAAAAAACCAACTTTCTAACATATTTATATATGGCTGATCTACATTTTTAATTAGCAATATAAACCAGTTATTTTGGAAGCATATATGAACCTTTAACACTTTGAAAGAAGATACCCATTAACTTTATAGTTTTGAGCCAAAACCATGTCTTTAGCTTTAACAACATCAGCCAATTTTACACAATTAGAATGTGTAATCAAGGTGGTAAGTAGAGGAATTTCAAATAACAGACTTTCTAATGCCTATAGTTTTCTCTTATTGACTGCAGGCAAGGGGCATTCAGTAGATTCCTTGGTTCCATTAAAAGCTTTTACACAGACAGAAATACAAAAAGCTTGTTTGAATATGACACAGAGCACTAAATTTCAGGATAAACAAAAGACATTCCTTACAGACTACAATTTAAAAAAAAACCACAGGAAAAAAAAGTAAAAGAATTTATTCCATGTTGCCATTATATAAAGTAGTCACAAAAATAAAGATTGGAAAGATAGAAATAGATACCTGGAGGATCCATAAAATCAAAGTGCACCAAATCATCTATACCAAGCTTCTTGAGCTGTAATACTACAGATCCTAAGTTAGACCTCAAAATTTCAGGGTATGTGTTGTCCTGGGGGGGAGGGGAAAAAAAAGACAATTCAAAACACTTGTTCTTCCAAACCCCTTATACTCCAGAAGCATTTAAATTCTGATTTTGTTCAACAGCACGGCACTCAACTATCTGAATCAGGTGTGCTTATAAACGTAATCTAAAAGAAGTAACCTTACCTGCATTTCAGTTTTGTAAGCCTTCTCTGTGTAGAGCCTGAAGCACTTGCCTGGTCGAGTACGGCCAGCACGGCCAGCTCGCTGCTGAGCAGAAGCTTTACTGATGGCAGTCACCAACAGAGACTCCACTCTGATACGAGGGTTGTACACCTATTTGAAAGTGGGAGCAGAGCAGGAAAGAAGGAAAGAATAAACAGTTTGTGGATAAGACAACTATCTGAAAAAATAAAGACTGCTTTAAACGTATTGTCAAGCACAGTTTCTGACTAGGAAATCACAAGCTGTATTTATCTGAAAGGAGGTAAAAAAACTGGCTACAAAATGCTCTGGATCAGTGACAGAGCACTTCAAATACAACTGTCTAGAGAACAGTATTTTTTATTCATCTGTTAACAGCAACTCCTGCCAGGCTCCCTGTTCTCCTTAAAAGCATGTATTTAAAATTTTCATGGCGAAAGGAACATATCCAATTTGGATCCAATTCCACAAAAAAAAGTTTGTCTTGATGTAATTATGAGGTTTAATAATCATGTTCTAGAGATCAGAAAAATCTAACATCAAGGTTGAATGGAACTGTAAAAATGAGGTTGATAACAAAAGTCTATTTCAAGGGTACATGCGGACTGTCACAGTACAAAATACATGCTGATATTTACTGTAAAATTTCTACTGCAGTCATAGATAAAAAAACAGCCCTGCCAACTCAACAGGGCTCATGGAAAGGAATATACTGTAAAAAAGGCAGTAACAGATAGTAGTTCAGCTGAAGATGTTCTTGGTCCATGTTTTAACACCTTTTTGGTGTAAGGATAAAATATGTACAAAAACTTTTGTTCTTACTACAGAAGGTATTCTTCTGGTATAAGAACTATCTGTGAAAAAACTCATCCTACATGGTGATGGAAACTTGTGCATGAAGATGCACTGGCTTACTGTACTCACATTCTGCTGTACATCCATCACATTTTGCCAAAGTTTAAAAGGTTGACAGTGTGTATCAGTGTTAAAGGAAAAGTCTAAGAAACCAAGTTGTAAAGAAAGTTACAGTTATTGAAAAAACTAAATTACTATTATGATATGCATTTTATTCTTTCTTTAGTTATTGGGTTGATTACAGGAAAACTCCTTCCGTTCCTCTGAACATCCTATGATATTCCAAGAAAATACAAACTTGATTACAATCTTCAGGGTTGCAACAGGACATGACAAATACTGATATAAAACAGTATGGATTATCTCTTTCTTCTTATTTTAGTGCTGGAATATGCTACTGGAGTGACTTAAAAGAAGAGGAGACTTCTAGCACCAGTTTTAATTTACTTGCATATAATTTCTTGGTTTTACTTGAGCCTTCTCAAGTAAAGACACAAAGTACAAAACCAGCCTTCCTAAAGTATCTGGAAAATCCATATGCCAGGCCTAATTCAAAGTTCTCATGTTTCTTTTTCCTTTTTAAAATAAAATTCTTCTATCTAAAATTTGCAGACTACATGCAAACCTCTAAGTTAAAAATAAAGCAAAACCACAACAACCAAGTTTAAGATTTCAAGTGGAAAAAAGACCTGGTGTCTACAAAGGGAACAGTTACCTGAGCAAACCAGATTCCAGCATCTTTCCTACTATAAAGAAATAGAAATCAGAATAGTATTTACCTTCTGTTTTGCAAAGCCAGGATCGATCACAAACACAACACCATCTATTGTTAATGATGTCTCAGCGATGTTAGTGGACACAACAACCTGTCAAAAAAACCCCAAAAAACAAATAATTAAATGAAACTGCTTCATTGTTATCATGAAGAGCTCAGATTTTGTTTCTGCACAAAGAATTTGCAGCAAACTTTCCTTCACTGCATCAGTAACAACCAGAGCTGCACTCCAACACTTTCACAGGATGATCTGAAATCAATCAAATTAACTTCTAGTGAATAGAGTAATTTTTGTCCACTGTTTTTGCTCCCCTGTGATGTTAATTTTGAGAAAAAGAAGCAGAAGAGCAGAAATTTTACTAATTAAACCACTACTCAAAATTTTTCTCACTTGTCTGGTACAAAATGACAAATTACACTGGATCCCTTTAACATAATCTGTTAATTCCAGCTTTTTACCTTTTTTGAAAGCCTGAACAGGGCAAACTGGTTAAATAATACTAAATCAAAGATTACACACAGTACCAGCACAGTATTTTCTTTTATTTGGTTTGCAATAAAGCAGTTATCAATACATTCCAGCTAAAATCCTGAACATGTACTTAATTTTAACTTTGTCTATCTCCAGATGTTCAAACACCTTTACAGATCTTTAATGTTACATTCTTAAATTTCTATAAACTTTCTGAAGGCTACGTCTCATGCAAAAATTAAAGGCAATACTAGAGTTCTGAGGCTTAATTCGCCACCATTTAGATGTTGTGTCCAGAGATGTAGGGTAACAGTCCATAGACACCATTCGCTCTCATCTCAACAGTCACCACACTGAATCTCGTTATTAGCAAGTTTCATCAGCTACCTCAGGAAAGACCCAAAACTTGTTCGGCACTTCATCAGAACTACTGACCTTTCATGTCTTTATTTCAGAGCATTTTATCATCACTGTTTTCAGAATTGGAGAGGCCCCTAACAGTTTGTTCAGTATTACAATGAAGCCAGTGGTTGGACTAGATTGATAATCCCACTGATTTTCCTTCCTGCTGGCTGATCATTTTGCCAGTCAGCTATTTATTACACTCAGTTTGTCTCTTCTTAAGTAGACTTAAGGTCTAAGCTTGCCCAAATACTACGATATACTGAAAGCAATACTTTGGTGGAAAAAAACACTGTCAATTTAGAATTATGGCATTTCACCCTGAAACAATGTGCCACTTCGAATTCCTCAAACAAACAAAAGTCCTGCACACATTTCATTCTCATGTAACCTGCATATATTCTAGAGATAGATATAGAGATAAAGGCCACAAACATAAATGCAATTCAGTGCAAAACTGCAACACATTTTCATAAAAAATTTGCAAAACAAACATGCAAATTAAACCTACACTTCACATTAGAAGGCCAGTCACTTCGCATTCAGTTTGCTGTTACAGAGTATACCTTATTTTAAAGGTTCCAGGGTTTTCTGTATCTGTTCATGTACAGAACCATCCTTACCCGAAATCTTCCAATACCAATTACAGAGAAGCAACAAAAGATTTTGGTCCTGCTTTTAATCACTGACTTCTATTAGGATACTTCAATACCAAGAACTCAATAGTGTTGATATGCTTAGTCCACAAAGGTACAGCAATTTAACTTGTACTTGAATTGAATACTTCATTTATACTTGAATCATACAGAACTTTCCAAGGGTAGAAGGAAAAAAAGTTATTTACACAGTGGATTCTGTTGTATGTACAGTTGTATGTATGTACAATTTTATGTACAGATATCATTTGTTAATTTCACATTGCTTAAAAAAACTGAAATTCATTAATGTAAAAACACAAGGAATTCAAAACAAGAAAAAAAAAGGTGATGAAATTACACCACAACTTTCAAGCCTAAATCAAACAACTGGAATTAGCACTAAACTACATAAAATAAAGGAGCCCCTGGTGGTCTAGTGGTAAAGGCGCGGCGCTATCACCGCGGAGACCCGGGTTCGATTCCCGGTCAGGGCCACTCCCGGGCAGGTGGGGCTCGTTAGCCCTTAAAGGCAACCCACCTACGTCCTGAGGACCTCGCTGCCACCGTCCAAGCTCGCTTGGCCCTGGCAGATGAACCTTAGGATTAAAGGGTGGGCTCAGTTCCGCGCACACTGTGTCTCATCTAAAAAATCCAATGCACAGGCTGGAAGGTGTAAAGACCTTCCCCGGATCTTCGCTTGTGAAGACGGGCCATTATTACATAAAATAATAAATTATACCTAATTAGCTTTAGCTACAGTTTTGCAGTTACTGAGATGAATTTAAACACCCTGTTTTCAATATTAATAGACATAGCATCTACATCTAAAAATACATCTATATTGCATATGTATTAACCATCAGTGGTTAAGACTGCTGGAACAAACTAGAACAGTTCAGAAAGAAGGGATAAGACCAGGCGTCTTTAATATGGGACAAGAACAGAAACGTTCTTTGTTAAGTCATCTTCATATTCCTCCACAGTATCAATTAAATACTCTGATTCAAACTGTGGGGGTTTTTTATCTCTAATTTTAAGCTTTCTCCAATAACAGCTGATTTTTCGTAGCTCAAAGAGGAACAAAAAAAAGTGCTAAGTTATCAAGCTGTGTCACTACTACCTGTTACCATCACAGCTACTGCCAAGATGCCACACAACTTCCAATATCTTTCCTTTCACAAAGTTAAAGCTCAAGAGGCACTGCAAGCATTTAACTTACATTTTTATGGCCATTAGAGCCTTTGAAATCATTCACACCACCTGCTAGTTCTCGCTTCAGCCATTCTAGAACCTAGGTTTGACTCCCACAAGAGATTGCTTTTAAGACACAGAGGCACAGCAACACGTGGTTTTTCTTTACAGATCTTGATCAACAAGACCAAGTGAAACTAAACCAACACTTAAACAAATTTACAACACAGCCACACTTTTACTAATAGCTAGATGTGTTATGAAGATAAAAACTAAAACATGGAAGCCAGAACATTTCAGCCAAAGCAGGTGAAGAAGAAAAGTAACTTCACAGGTTTGAGTCTGCTGCCTACCTATCGTGCCTACACTTGGTACCTTTTGGGCATAACAATTTTTCTTGTAGTAAAATAGCTGCTACACCAAGAGCGTCTTCCTCTCAGAGACTGGTACTGGCTCTGTCAGTTCAACATAACAAAAGCTACACTCTGCACTTGTTATCCTTTTATGCAGAAGACCAAACAGTGCCTATCTTGAAGGGCATAGTTTTAATCATGAATGAAAATTTAATGAAATACACAGCCATCACTTGTTCATTACTTAAGAGCAATTTCATTCATTTAAGTCATTTACTAATACAATCTTGTTGCAGCATTAGTTTCATGATTTCAGACTGAATGCTTTCCGCAGTCAACTTCAACAGGAAAACGAAGGTAATTCCACTAAATTTATGAAGTGATTTACTCTTCCAGAACACTAGGAAGTTGTCACTAGTATTCTACATGCGTTGTACTGCACAAAAAAGCAAACAATCAAGGAAGAAACCCTGCCTAGAGCACCTGGTATGATTCAGCTTAGACCTTCAAAATCTTAGCTTTGTGATTGCTGGTTTCATACAGCATTAGTTTAATTTCAGGAAGTTCTAGCACAAATCCTTCCCAATGTTCAGTTTTAGCAAAATAACCAGAAAGCTTCTAATGTGGATTATGTAAGCACTGACATATTAAAGAAAAACATTCACTGTGCCATTTCGAGTTTCTCAGTTTCTCAATTGATTTTACCCAATGAAAGAACCTCAATTCCTCATTTACTGCTACAGAAAACACAAACCTCTACTTGCTCCTTTCCCAAAAACTTTAAGAAACAGAGAAAACCTGCCTGAATACCTCCCATGAAGAGAAGTTCCATTTTGTTTAAAAAAAAGAGCGCATCTCAAAATAATTACCTATGGAAAAAATCCCATCCCTCCACGTAAATCATACTTCTCCTAAGAAAATTATATGAATGCTACTTCCATTCAGTCATATCAAACTGTTACTACAACATCCTGGCCCTACATAGATAGAAGACAGAACTTTGATTTGAACTGAGAAACAAATTCCAAGTTATCTAAAAATTCTAACGTGATAAAAACTTCCTACTTGTTGCTGACCAAATATATTTAAAGCAGCTGAAACTCTTACTTCGTTGCCCACACAACTGTGAGTAGACACTAACAGATCAGAATACTGAAACAGCATAGTATTTACCTTTCTTCCTATTGCTCCATTTTGTTTTTTTGGTGGGGGAGGTTCAAATATCCTTTGCTGCTGCTGTGGAGGAAGGGTGGAATACAATGGAATGATTTTGATGTCACCAACTTCAGGACCCAAATCATCAATTTCACGTTTTATCCTCTTGCAGGCTTCATCAATCTCCTACAAAAAAACACATTGTTTAAAAGAGATATCCATGGAAAAGGAAGTGCATTTTACTTTAGAGTGCCTACGACAATCAGATTAAGTCTACACCCTGAAGAACAATTACAATAACTTCTACTTAAAAAAATAAAAATAACTTTAAAAAAAAAAATCAATCAAGGTGCTTACTGAACGTGCAATCAAATTTCCACAATACTTCAAGATGTTTCAGCTTCTATACTCTAATGAACAGCCTAATTTGCATTCAACATCCTTTTTTTTTCCAGTCATGTTTCCTAATTAAATTTCTACAAATTGTACTAAAATTGAAATCTCTCACCCTGGAATATTAAACTGCACTCATGACCTTTTCAATTTTCACAATCTGAAAAAAATTGATGTGCAAGATACTTAAAATAAGCCAATTAAGCTTTAATGTCACGTATCACTAATGCAATTATGTGGAAGATTTGCTTCATTGTACCTAATGAGAACAAACACCTTTACAGTATAAACATGGATGCTCAAAACCAAACCTCTTAATTCTGCACTTCAGATTTCACTTTAACTGAAATCCCACCTAAGCTTAAGAAGAGACAGTGAAATACTCCACAGATGATAGATTTTTTTATGACTTTTTTTACCTTAGTATTTTCTAGCCTATTTTCTGCTTACCATCCAAAACAGTTCACCACAGCCCAGCCGTTTATAACTGCATTTAGTTTTAAAACAACTACATTTAAGCCAGGTAGGTGACCTATAGTTATGGCAAGATTTAATGAAAATTGAAGTGCACAGAAATGTAGGTTAATGAGTAACACCATTCATTAGCTTCAACTTAAAATCACAACAGAATCCCCACTAGTATAACTAAGGGACACTGACCAACTACTGATCTTCCAGCTGAATTACTGATGGGAGAATAAAATCATCATGACAAGAAGCAACAGTAGGCAAAAGCAATGGCTACAACATACTCTGAGAAAAAGAGAAGAGACCTCCCTTATCACAACTAAGTCACTAGCCTGAGGGTGATGTTTAAGACCCTAAAGCAAATACATAGAAAAGGTAATCTAAAGGTTCTGTAAAGTTACTGCTTTAAACTGTAATTTGAAAATCAAAAGCAGCCTCCTTTTTAAAAACCATAAATTCAGACAGATTTGCACCAAATCTGGGTCTTTTACTTATTCTTAAAAAGACATTTAAGTTTCCAGCACAACTGCATTGAGTAACTTTTAAAGCACAGACAATACTTGCTCTGTATTGATCAGTGTATACAATTAATGTAACCACAGCAAAATGCAGGCTCTTCCTCTCTGATGTCCAAGAGCCCTTTGAAGAGTAACCCTAATGCTTTCTGGCACTGCCTTGCCAATTTGAATGAACTGCAGATATTTACCAAAAATGCCTTTTATTTAAAAGGTACACTCTGCCAACAAATCCAACACATCTTCATAAAAGGTAAGGGGTATACCAGAAACTGAGCTGCAATGTCCATTGCTGGTTTATTAACAGAGAATTAACTTCTTTATACAGGTGTCAGTACTTGGTGTTCTCCTGATAAACTCCCTTTTTAAGTTCAGTAATAGCCTCCCAGTGAAAAGGGACTTGAATATTTAATACAAACAAAAACAGAGCACAGACCTTAGTTCCTGGTCTGAAGGTGAGTACACTACTCAGGGAATTTGAGCAGTTTATACTGTGTAATTGTGAAAGTTGTGACATGATGCTGGATAGGATGCTTAATCTTCAACAGTAATGACTATAGACTTCAGGATAGGTTTATTCTAAAGAGACAGTAAAATATATGCAAGCAGTGATAAACAAAAGCACTACACTCTACGGGACGTGTTCACAGCCACTGATCATCTTTCGGAAGAGATGAAAGTACTGTTTCTCCCTAGACTTTCCCAATGTAGTTTCAAAGTATCCCTAAACCAGGAGTCATTGAAATACTTCAACACAGAGATGACAAGTGCAAATATAGCCATTACTCTCTACAGATTTGCAAAAAGGATGCAAGTCACCAAGAGCCACTGTCACTCATCCAAAGACAGTAACCATCCAGATGATGACCAAAACTGGTACCCCAGAGTACATAATCTAGAAGGAATGTGTGGTAAGAATAGTCTGAAAGTGTTGAAGATTCTTTTAAGTGTTAAAGATTTGTTAGGATCACATGAAGACATTTAAATCCAGAGATATAAGACATATAGTTGAAGGCATAATCCTAACTTTATTTCTCTGAATATTCAGAAAGTCTAATTCAATGGTCCCAATTAACTGAATTATGAAAAGGTGGTTTTTTTTAAAAAAAGAAGGCAAAACAGAATAACAACAACAACAAAAAAAATCAAACAAACAAAGAAAGAAACTCTCAAAACCCCACCACATACCTTTAAATATTTGCACGCTATCTACTCCAAACAAATCCACTACAAAATCCCTTCCTTGAAGAGGGATTATTCCATCAACATGCACAGAAGAGGAAATTTTTCTTCTCAGGTGGAAGAACAGGAAAGTAGAGTGAACATGCCTTGCATTTAGATGATGCCTGAAAAGCTCCTCAAAGCCCTGACTATCCCACTGACTACCTGAGATAGTAGGAACCAGGGTATAGGAAGCAGGAACAGACATAGGATCAAAGAATCCACACTTAGACCCATGTCTGCCCAGTGCATCAACACAAAGATCTACTTCAGAGTTAATCCAAGAAGAAAACAGGCCTAAAATGCACAAAGTGTGAGGCTTAGTTAATACTCAAGTTACTAGATTGAACTTGATCCTAGTTGCTCACAAACAAGATTCCCTAGGACTAATGTTCAAGAAATACTTCTCAGTGAAATTTAGTCAATGAAAATGTCCATTGATGCACTCATGACCTGACTACCCAAAGGTAAACAGCAAACAGCCCACAAAAAGGGGAAAGGTTACACTGCTAGCTAAAATGCTCATTTATCTCAAGCTGCAAGTGCCACAACACACACATCTATACTTCACCACACCTAGTCATCAGAATTGTCCTGGTAGTCTCAAGTACTTTAAAACTTCCCAAAACTTCTTGTTGATCCAATCAAAATAAACATACAATATACAGACAATAACTACAATTTAGCTGAACTGCTATGGAAACTAGAATTAAGCAGCACTTAAGAACTCCACAACAGGCACATTCTCAATATTAACATGGAAATCTCAACATTCTTCCACACCATCAACAGCCTAAGTGATTTTCCTTGGAAAAGCTCCAAAGACAGAAAATAATCAGCAAAGAGAAAATATTTCTTTTTGTAGACATACTAGTGATGAAGAAGGTAATGGGGTGGTGAATATTTTTCAACCAGGAAAAACAATGATCTCAACATCCAAATGAGAGTCAACAATCTGTATTTTGTGCCTACAGCTAAACTGAGACAGCTTACAAAAGGGAAAAAAGCTGCAACCAGGAAGATAATTTTATCACGGTGACTATTATTATTAATTTTAAGCTAATTCACATAGTGTTCCTTCCAAAAAAATTGCTTGACTAAGAAGACTGGTTCTAGAAAAAATCCTGCGCAGGCTACTTTGTTTCCAAACAACTGGTGGACAACAGGCAATATTTAGAATACTCGTCAAATTAGGCTGATTCCACTCCGGAGCTCAAGTAATTCCAAGACCCTGAAAAGCTTCAGGATTGTAACGTGAACTTTAATTGGTGCATGGAACTTTCCTGATCTCAGCAAGACTGAAGTCTGGATGCGAATCAGTGCTCAGCAGTGTCTTGTTTGGAAAACAAAGAACAGGGTGCACAGTTTTCCTTCCACTTTATTACAAACAGAACTGCAGCCATCTATATTTTTACCACATCTATAAGAGAAAAGTTTACACTAAAAAAAAAAAATACATGATTCTTATTAGTTCCATTACAAGTTCCATTAAATAGGAGTAAAAAAAAAACCCTAAACACAAAACATAAAAAGAAACCCAGAAAGATCAGCAGCAATATAGTTCACAGAATCACTGAACACGAGGTTGGAAGGGACCTCAAGGATCATCTGATCCAACCTCTCCTGAGTGTCCCAGGTTTGCCCATGGGGGATGGAGCTTAGAGCCATGTTGGCATGCCTGGGCTGTTATTCCATACCACCCGTGTCTTAGCAAGGGGGCGGGGAAGGCATAGTTTCAGGGGAAAGAAAATGGCAAGTACACCTCAAAGCACACCATTTTGTTCCCTCTCTTCCTTGGGGAAGTTGCCACTTGTGGCAGCACTGCCAGCTCTGGCCAACCAGTGCTTCGGACTCTGTCCATCCATTGCCCATTCCTTCCTGTTCCTTGGAGAACGCAACTCCAGGAGGTGAATGCAGCTGGGACACAGCTCCAAGAAAAGTGGCAAACACAGCAAGGATGTGGCTCCAAAAAGCAGCAGAGAGGCGAGTGGTGAAGTCTGGGAATGGAACAGCAGCAAGCCTAAGCCAAGCTCACCAGAGCCTTTCATGAACAGAGGGGTGGTGAGCCCAAGCCCAGTGGTCTGGAAAAGCAGGTGGCTCAACACGGATGATGCAGCTTTTTGGGGATTTGTCTGTCACTGTTACGTTGTCTCAGGCTCGGAGAGCACCAGCCACAGAGCATCCATCAGGTTGTCTTTGTCTCAGGAATAGCCATGACAGGAATAGCCATGTGTTACTGAGTTGAGGCAATGAACACACCTTTTGTGTGTAAAGAACCTTCTCTTTTGCATGCTCTTGTTATTAATACTGTTGCTGTTCCTGTGTTTCTTATTTCATTGCTGTTTGCTTTCAGTATATCTCAATCCATAGTCTCCGGCTTTGTCCCTCTTGCACCAAAGGAGGGGCAGGAGAGAAGGGGAGTGGCTTATTGGAGGTTAATTCCCAGCTGATGTTAAACCATCACACTTGGCAAAAGCACAGTCTAGACAAGATAGCCCAGAATCCTATGCAGCCAAATCCCACGTGACCAATGTTGTGGAATCCACCGCTTTCCCTCTGAGATTATTCCAATGCCTGATTATTCTCATTGTGAAAAATTTTACTCTTATGTCTAATCACAAACTCCTCAGGAGTAACTTTCATCCATTACCCCTCAACTATCCATGTGACTCCTTGTAAAAAGGGAGTCTTTACTTACATTGTAGCCACCCTTTAAATACTGGCAAGTCTCCCCCAAGCCTTCTTTTCTCAAGGCCAAAAAAGCCCAGCTCTCTCAGCATTTCCCAGTCTTTTGAACATCTCTGTGGCCTTAAGTTACTGAGTAACATTGCTCTTGCAAAGGTAACCTGAATTTCCTTCCATTTTGTTTGTGTGCAGGACTCAACCATGGTGCCACAGAGGAGGCTTCAAATCACACTGATAATAAACAGCAGTTAGCGATTGATGGACTGTGAGTTACCCTGAGCCAAAGCTCTTCAAGTGCTGGCATTCATTCTGGCTCACAGGCCAAAGCAGTACATACAAACAGCCAGTTAACTTGCTGGTCAGGCTCCACTCCATCTTTAGATCTGAACTTCTCATCCTCACAAAATCAGTCTCTACAAAGAGATGGTGACTAGTGCATTTTAGGCACATTTAATGCAACAATTCACGTACTTGGCATGCAAAACAGAATTCAGTGATTTTGTAAACATGGTCCCTAGTAACATTATTTCAGAAACCCTTTTTTCAGTTGACCCTCTATTTGGTACACTTAAAGAATTTCATGGGATAAGTAAAACTTCAAGACTGCTCCAATTAAAACATACTTTAAGCTCTTTTAAACAGGAGATGAGTCTTATGTGCAGCACATCAGCTGCCACCCTATACAGAGTTAGATTTAGCTTCATCTTGGATAAATCAGTCAAGTATACATAACAATAAAACCCTGAAGGAAACTAATACCTAGAAAGGGTAAGGCAATTTTACATTGTGTAAAATGCAGGGAGGGAAACAAACACACAGATAAAAATTATTTCACAAACTAGAAATATCTGACAGACACCTTAACCTGCCCCCTTGTCTTTTGACTTCTATCACAGGCAGGGTACAGCCAGACACAGCTGGCTTGGATGACATGAACCTTCTAAAAATGCTGTTCGTGTCCTTAAATCTGCACGGAACTTCCCTTGTTTTCCTTTTTTCCTCTTGGAATGAAAGCAGACTGCTACAAGCTAAAATGAGCAAACAGCAATAAAAAGAACTGGCACCAAGAGCTGCATCACTTCAGGAGATCTCCAAACACAAACTTAGAGAAACAAAACTTTGTAAAATTATGCACTCAGACAAAAAAGTAATACATGGAAAAAGCCAACACTTGACTGTAAGTACAACTGCTCTGTCAAGACTGAACTTGCCTCAGCATAATGCTTATATTCAGGATTTTTTTTAATACTTGACATCATCTCAAATGAATGAAGAGCAAAAAACCTTCCTCCCTTTAGCACTTGAACAAAATGAGTATTATTACTCTTCTTTAAGTTTATGCCACCCAATTCAATACTTTCTAAATGAGGCTAAACAAGACTACTCGTTAAGCCTAGTACACAGACTGGCTTAACTTCATCCAGTCACTACTACTGAGACTTTAAAAGAGTTGTCAATTTTTACTTCAATTTCCTCATAAGAAAGTCTCCATTTTCCTTCAGTTCCACAGTTTAACCAGTCTTACTGTGATTAAAAATTGTGCCTATAAAATAAACCCCTTTGATTACAAAGTTTTCTATCAAAACATCAAAAATGTTTTGCAACTCTCTCCTATGCCAACATCAATTTTACCCATATCACTTTAAGCCTTTGTAGAACGCTGAACTTTGCAGAAACGTTGTTCACTATATTTATCCAAAATCAAGAACAACACTGCTTATCTGTACTTCAAGTCACCAGATGCAGCCTGGATTCTCCCTCCTAAACGTGTAATGATGCATTTGGCTTTATGAAGAAAAGGGCACCAGAGTGACAGAGAACACAACTGGCATTTGTAAGTGACTATGTTACCAAAACACGTAAGATGGATCTATGTAGTTTCTGTGTCATTATTTCTGCCACCCCCATTCCACAAGTTTTGTCTGTAAGGATGTTACAGCTACTCACAGATTACTGATCTTAATGGACTATAAAATATAAGTGTTTTAGTACAACTCCAGTAGAAAATTAACCAGTTGCCTCTCAGATCTGCAGGTGAGCCAGTCTTGAGACACTTAAAGTCAAGCTTAACAAACGTGTATCTACACAACTAGAATACCAAATTTGTAATCTCAGTGACTGAGAACAAGTTTGACAACACCTATTGTCTAAGAAAGACGTCGACTGAAATGTAATTATGCTTTTCCCTTGTGAACAAAAATCCATGTCAGAGTTTCCAATTTTGCCTGTGACTGATGTCAGGAAACCTAGCTTACAACTACCCAGGTTATACCTTTTTTGAATACTGGTGTGAAACATGAATATTATTTCCATATTCTGGAATCTTCCTGATAGACCAAGGTGTTTTTTTGTTTGGTTTTAAGATGAACAGATGAGCTTTTCTCCTTATAGGGACTGTAGGACAAGTGCTGTTTCAAAATGTTTATTCCTAATAAATTTTGGGGTTTAAACATCCTCTTTTGTTATTAATGGACTGAAAAGCAATTCATGCAACATAATCACACACTTTTCCCCTTTCAGAATTCAGGAAGTTTTTACTGAATACTTATTTCTGCACCATTAACAACAGTTTTATCTTCATCCAGTAACAGGCCTATACAATTAAGATTCCTTTAGTTTCCAAATGTATTTAAGCTTCTTTTAATTTTTTGGGCATGACAACACAGATTTTTAACCCTGTCGACGTTGTTTTCAAGAATCCAAAAGAATTGCACAGCATTTCTGCCTATCATAAATCAATTTCCAGCTACTAAGCCTCCTGAACCCAAAGCACATAGTGGTAATGGTACCTAGAGAGCACACTTTCCAGTTCTTGAGAGTACAGTTGGTCCCATCACTTCAGATTCAACGATACATCTGAAGACTTTCATGAGGCTCAGCAGAGGCCCCAAAATGTCATTAATCAAAATGGTTAAAACACTTCAAAGCTTCTCTACAGAAGCTAAAATCAGACTTCAATTTCATGCTAACCAACTAAATTCAGACTAGCCTGAGGCACAGCCACCTCCAGTGCCTCCGGACAGTAGCACTGACTGACATGTGGACTGGAAAACTGTAGACTGCAGAGTAGAGGATTGTAGATTATCAATGTAAGTCTTAAGTGATTCAGTAATACAACATGTTCAATACATTTATGCATAACTATATATAATTTTTTATATATATATATATGTGCATGTACTATATGCAGGATTTTATTCAACATTTGATTATAATACATTATGTCCTGCACATTAACTCAGTGGAAATCAAAGAACCTGTTCATACGAAAGAACAGAGTAGGTCTGCAGCACGGGCGAGTACCAGCCCAGTTCAGTGTGGAGCCATTTGCCACAGCAAGACTTAAGTGATCCCATGCCCTACTGCAATTGTTGCAACAGGTTATTTAGAGTAATACACAGCAACTGATGTAGCAAGGACATAATTTATAAATCAGGACAAATATTTGTGCCTCATGAAAGGTTAAAGACCAGTCTGATTTAGCATCTTGGTAAGAAAACAGAATCTGCTGGAACAGCTGGCCAGCAGCATTCCTTTCTGTTGCCACCGATTCAGTCACTCATTTGCAACAGCTGTTTCATTAATTCACACATTTACCTGCCTGACTAGACTGAACTACAAACTCAAGCTAAAACTAAGCAGGTAGACTTCAAAACCACAACTGCTGAACAGTTTCCCCTACCTGTACTTTAACTCACTGCAGTAATCCAAAGAAGGACAAATTTAAAGGTCAGGGTATTTGCTTTTACAGTGACTGCCATTGCCTTGGTTTTTCAAGAGAGGAGATGACCTGCCAGAAGACACTTTATTCCAATGTCTTAAAACTCACCTAAAAGGTAACACATCTTGATGACTGACAAATCTACTCAAGAAGCCTGGATACCTTTAGCATCACAAGTTATTTGTACCACTTTCCTCCCTTGGCATAGTTAAGACTGCGTACGCTTACATGAAAAACACCAAATTGTACCACATCCTTTGAAAGGAGCTGGAAAAACATTTTTGTTAGCTGCCTTTCTCCCCCTACTTAAAACAGACTTTAGGTTGACAAAGTCCAGCAAACTTTCATAATGCAAACTTTTTATATGGGTTTTTTACCTCTTCTCCATCTCAGCCTACTAATAACAATACTCAAGAGCTTCAAAGCAACAGATGAGGACTAAAAAAATACCCTAGTTTATTTCAACTAAAGTATTTAAGATGTCAAGAAAACCCTCGCTTCCTAATGCAGTTTAGCTTAAATGCTTTTATGCCATCCTCATTTGGAAGGCATCGAGTCCATTTCCAAGACATAACTCCCTGAATTTGTGGTACATGAAGTCCAAATAGCACAAAATAGTTACTGTATAGAACAATGGATAAAAAAAGGGAAGAAAGTACCTCTTGTCCAGTAAGAAAGAGTAACAGATCTCCCTCTTCTTCTTCACACATGTGAATTTGGATCACTGTTCGAATGGCAGCCTCAAGGTAGTCCCTTTCTGGTTCTGGAGTATAGAATATCTCCACAGGATGGGTGCGACCCGGGATAGTTAGAAGAGGACAGTTATCAAAATAGATCTGAAACTTGCCAGCATCTAAAGTAGCACTCATAACTATAACCTGTAGGTTTGGAGGAACAAAAAAAAAAAAAAGTTACTCAAGAGGTTAATAAAAATTTGTGAAATGTTATGTGTGTAATATGTAATTGAAAGAAAGTAAACAACTATTAAGCGTGCTTCTACCACCTGAATGCAGCACCCTTGTTACAAAGGTCCAAAAAAATTCCCAGTCCAAAACATAAGGTTAAGCTACAATTACATTGTTCGCAGTAACTTCAATAAAAACCACACTATGAATTCCCTAGGGTTATCCTTCCAATGTAGATTATCATACATCAAAAAACAATTATCAAAATCAGCTAATGGTAAGCACACAGACACTTTTTTTAATATGCCTGCAACTAGAAAGGAGATACTTTTGGACTTCATCATTACTGACCTTCAAATCAGATCTCTGTCTTACAACTTCCTTCAGAACTCCCATCAAGATATCCGTAGCCAGTGTTCTCTCATGGGCCTCATCAAGAATTATAACACCATAGCGCTCCAGCAAAGGATCATTCATCGCTTCACGAAGTAACATACCATCAGTCATATACCTGAACACAAAGAGAAACAATTTCAACATACATTTGATTTAGTAAGTCTGATACAGAATCCTCTTTTGTATCATTTATTAGATTGCTTGAAGTAAGCTTTTAATTAACTTTTAAATTAAGAGTTGAAACATCAGTAAACTATTTCCAACAAAGTAACAAGCCCTTTCAAGATTTCAAACAGAAATTCCTTTAGAGTATAGTGAAATCTGGGATTACAGGGGGAAAACTTAAAAAAAAAAGAGGGGGAAACCAAGTTCAGCAACATTTATAAATCGTTTGTAGATTATTACTGGCAGACTTCCACACCTACAACCAGAGACAGGAAAAGAAGGAGAATATCCTCTGAAATCCCAGAAATACTGTTTCTGCAAGAGTTGCTACTCTTTTCTGTTTGCAGATCATCCATTCACTTTTTGCTTTTGTGTCTCGGTTTAATTTCCTTGTACACATTAACTTTATTCTCTACCCTTCAATTACCTCTGTAACAAAAGTGAATACATATTTTATAGAAAAAGCATTAATCCCTGAACCACACTACGTGGTGCTTTTAAGTGAGCATTTTGAATGTGATCTGCAAATGACATATTAAGTGCACCTGGTTCCACGGACAAAGCACAGGAATGCAGAGCAGCTGATAACTAAAACACTATGGATTACGTGTCCCACAGCCAGGTATAGGCCAGTTTTGAAACTCTGGACAGTTCTCCTTACTGAAATAAGCTACTGAACTTCACCAAAAGAACCCTTAGTAGAAGATACGACAGACAAACATCTGAATGTATAACAAAGAGAAACTGCATGCTGAAGGGCTTTATTCTGAATAGCACCTTAATTATAAAATACTTCTTCAGATCACCTTCTTCTTTATGGATCATTCAAAATTAATTTCCATAGAGTGCAGTGATTTCTTTAGAAGGAATTAATAATTTCCAACTCTACTCAAGCCTCACACCTCAGTTTTCTCTCAGCTCATGCTATGGTTCCCCACTCAGACACAGAAGTACCTATCCATAGACTCACTCACTTTTTACTCCTTTCATACCTTTGCTCACACCCTTCACTACCCTGCAATTCCCCCCCCCCCCCGAGTATAATATGTTACACCTTTACCTATACCTTTGCCATACTTACTTCAAAATGGTTTTTGCACTACTGCAATCTTCAAATCGAATGGAGTAGCCGACCTCCTGCCCCAGCATGACATCCATCTCATCAGCAACCCGCTGTGCCACACTCATCGCCGCCACTCGCCTGGGCTGGGTACACGCCACGCCCCTCTTCGGGCCAGGTAAGGAGCGCATGTAGTCAACACACCACTGGGGGATCTGTCACGAATAACATTCAGTTACAAACACACTTCAGATGGCCAGTAACCTTTGTACAGGATCAAAAGTTAGTTAGAATTCCATGGAGATGCCAACTGCCTGCACAAAAATAACCAAAGCAGGAGATCAGATAGACTAGTTAGTTTGACCTAATGCCACTAAATAAAGCCCACTCACACTAAACATGTACATAACTATCTTAGAAGTCGCCAAGGAAATACACAGGTTCACAGTACATTTAAGCATTGAATGATTGGTACCTTATACAGATACTTAGCAGCAGCCAACATGCTTCAAAGCAACTAAAATTAAAGCTAACACACTCAAAAATTGAGTGAGATCCATAGCACAGTTTGTTGTTTAAAGTTTTACAGTAAGCAAACTGTGGTTTGTGTCTTTAAAAAGTAATGCTTACTAATATATTTAAACAAAAATAACAGCTTTAGTGATATATAAAAATTGTCTAAGCTAGGAGGTATGACAAGTAAAATGAACAATTATGTTCATTACGTTATTTATTGTTCTTTTGAAATGTCATCAACCAGATATGAAACTCCTATGCTTTTTTTCCCATATTAGCACTCTTTATTTGTCAATCAGCAGTTTTCTGTAAGAATCATCCAAAGTAAGAAGTTTTATTCAGAAGAACTCCTAAGGTCAGTAACAGTTTGATGAAGATAGAATATTCTCAACATGTTCTTAGTGTGACATTTTATGAGGAGACATCTCCAGACACTACTAGTTCCAAACCTACACACCAGAAGAACCCACTCCTTCTTAGCAATTACTTCTCAAGTTTTCTTAAAAGCTCACAGAGGAAAAGAAAATACAGCATTTATACACTGTACCAGTGAGGAGTAACAGGGAAAGTAGTATAATTTAAATGAGGAAAATTTTGTCTCAAATATTGTATTTTCACAGCAAAATGGACATAAGTGAACACTAAAACATACCCAAAAGCAGACAAGCATGTTCTAATGATTTTTTTTTAATGAAGAATATACTTCCACTATAGAATAAAGCAAAGAGAAACAAAATATGACAGGAGACTATTAGACTGCTGTGAACAACTCAAATTTCTGAAAACTCTATTCAAAACTAAAAATAACAGCAGTTCTTGAACAGCAGTAACATAAAACCCATGTAAGATATACATGGCTCCCCTAATGTGCAGTGTAGAGAAAGCAATTTGCTTCCCAAGTCACTAGTAACAGCTCAGCTTTAAGCATATTAGGTGAAGCTTCTTAACCTTAAACAGAGTAAGACTAGAAAAAAATTTGAACCAACAGGTCTGTCAGGTCACTGCAGAACAAAATAAAAGCAATTTAAAAGTGGTTTTCCAGTAAACAGCAAAACTTTCAACACTGGTGTCAAATGAAAGAAAAGGGTTACACAGACTTCACTGTGCTAAGCTGATTTAGACAACCACCCAAATACTTTTCTTGTCCAGTTTTCAAAGACATACAAATACTGGGAAAAAGGACTGTGCCATACTGCATTTTGTACTTCAGTCATGTCTGCAAATATAATGAGTACTTCTTATTATCCAGTTCTTATGAAACCTAATGTACAGTTGACTCAACGCCACTGACGCAAAAAACCTATCCAATCACCAAAACCCTCGACTTTCCCTTAAAAAAAAAAAAAAAACAACAAAAAAGTAATTTTACCAATATCAAAAGCATGATGACCAGTTTTAGCTAGCATTGTTTAATCTCAAGGACTTTCTCAATTAAGAGATATTTTAAAATGTAACTTCCATAAACACATACACTGGCCTCTAAGATCAAGGCTAAATGCACTGAGGGCTGTTAAAGGCTATTTCAAGTCAAAGGAAATTCATGTTTTAAACGGTAAGAGAGGGAATAGCACAGCCTTTCTGGCTTTTTGAGCCTCTCCAACTTAATGAAAGCTTTCTCAATTAAAAGTTTTATGGTAGAATTCTTGGAATTTTCATTAGTTGAAAACCTGTATCAGTTCTCCTATGGACTGCAAAGGACTAAGGCTAAGCTATACTCAGGATCACCTTGCTTCTAAACTCCACCTACCAAGAAAAGCCCCTAGGCATTTATAGTAAAGACTCTTGAGTAAAAGGAGATGCTACTCTACCATTCTTCCTACAAAAGACAGTGCAATTTTTATTATACCAGCACAACATATGATCCCACATTTAAAAGGGAGTGCATGTTGCAATTACAGCAAGCAGTTAACCTCTTCCTAAAAGAAATCCCACACCCCCATTCCACCACTGAGTATGTTCACAGGGCATTTAGTAAAACAGTTAATTTAAGTTTAAATTATGAAATAAGCCATTGCAAATACTGAAGAATTTAATGCCTTAGCTTCCAATATACTTCTCCAGTACTCTGGGGTTTAGGTCTATATGGCACAAGTGAGAAAAGTGTCATCTTCTGTTGTTTCCATTGTCTAATCCAAGCACTTCCAAACCTGGGTGCCCTGTAAGACTAAATGTGCATATAATCACAGAACGCTTTGGATTGGAAGGGGCCTTAAACATGATCTGGTTCCAACCCTTCTGTCGTGGGCAGGGATGCCATCCACCAGATCAGGCTGCTCAAAGCCCCATCCAACCTGATGGTGTGAGGCTCTCACAACTTTCCAGGCAACCTGTTCCAACATCTCACCACCCTCACAAAGAAGAATTCCTTCCTAACATCAAATCTAAATCTCCCCTCTTTCAGTTTAAAAGCAATTTCACCATGTCTTATGTACATCTGCCCATGTAAAAAATTACTCTCTGTGTTTTCTTTAAACTCCCTTCAGGTATTGAAACACCATGAGGTCTCCCCAGAGCCTTCTCTCTGCCAGGCTTAACTAGCCCAGTATTTTCAGCTTATTTTCATAGCAGTGGTGCTGATAATAATCAGAGAAGGGACTTGACAGGCAGTAGATCACTATCAAGAAGATTATCTACTATTATATAGTCTTTTACTATCATCATGGAAGGAAAGATAATTTTGGAAATACTCATTTTTCAAATTATGCTTGCTTTTATTTTTATGAAATTGGCATTAATAACTCATGTACACCTGCAGTTGGAGCATTAGAGTGTTTCTTAGCCAAAGAACATTATTTATCCTGCTCTGATCAATGAATCTAAGGAAAAGAAACCCACATCCCAACAAGTTTTGAGACAACACTCGATAACAAAAAGGATATGACACTCACATGCAAAATGAGTTTTTCATTAAGTGGAGTAATACGTTCCTATAGAAACAGTCTCAATTGTTTCAAAATGTATCTACCAGCTCACAGAATTCAGAGGAAGAAGGGAAGCTTCCAAGACAGCTTATGTGCTTTTTGGTAGCTTAAATCCAATTTTTAGGAAAGATGTCTTAGGTTTCTTAAGTCCTTTCAGAAAGCAAGGGTTAAAGTAGCAGGATAATTCAGGAAAAGCTTTATGCCTTTGGAATGACATGACAGTAAGATGTCTCTGAAGTATAAGTCATAATATTAAGAACGCATAACCCTCAGATCTTCACATATTCAGATCATTTAACAAGTAACCTTGTTTTCATACAGATAAGCACCTTTTAACATAAATATTCATAATACTGTATCTTCCAAATAACTACACAATCAAACCTTTCTGAAGAATTCTGCAAAACCCCAGTCTCAGCTTACACACTTTAAAAAAGCAATATAGATAACGTCCTATTACCTTCTAAACAAGACACCAGCTCCTAAAACGTGCAGCAAGAAGGGCACATAACTTCAGGTATTTCAGGCACAGGCATGAAAAGTATCCACTGTACTGATATGTCCTTCACATTTTCTTGGCATTCAAAACTTTTATGACTAAAAATTTTCTTAGTCTTTAAGACTTACTTTAAGTTAGCTATAAACCATTTTATAAAGACTAAAATATCCTTCAGTTTTTATTTCCTGCCCAGATAAAGGGTATTTATCAGATTACAGAACAAAGAACTTTTTTACATCACTTTTCCACACAGACCTTAAACAGCAAATCAGAGGATAAAGTTTTGAACAAGTCTATCCTGCTATAAATACACAGGTATTCCTTGTTATCTTAGATCTTCCCTGTTTACTGACCCAAAACTCTTCTTAAGGATTGAAGAGGCTCTGCAGATCTGTTATCACTATTTTTGGTAGAGAAAGACTTTAAAAGCCATTAATCCACACAAAAAGTGATTTTTAACTATAGCACTGAAAAGCTCCATGACTTTTAAGAAATTTCAAGGAAACACAAGTCTTTACCTCTCAAGTTTGAATATCATCAAAACATATGATGCAATCAGACGTCAGAATCTTATCTGACATTTCAATTCCTTTTAAGTTGATATCTGTAGCAGTATACTTCCTAAAACACTAACAAGTTCATACTTTGCAGTTGCTATCTGCACCAACAGTTAAATAAACTATTTGGAGCCACCACTTCATTTTTGTGGATTAGTACACTTCTGCCACACCATTAAATCTCTTATCTCCCTCTACCAAACAGAAATATGGCCAGGGAACTGCACTGCATTTCTAAAGGGGAAGATGCTGTAAGATTCTTCTCACTTTCGCATTCATTAAAGCAAATAAAACATTCATCAAATTAGTTTTGCTTACGGTTTGTGAGGTATTCTTATATACTGAATTTCAAGAAATCAAAGTTTCACGCACACACATGCCTAGCAACAGCCTAAATCTTAAAAAATATGCAGTATCATACAGATAAGAACTCACCTGTGTTGTTTTACCAGACCCAGTCTCTCCAACCAGCACAAAAGACTGATGCCTAATCAAAATATCCGTAAATCTTTCTTTATATTCCCAGACAGGAAGTTGTAGCCTTTTTTTCAGGATGTCATAATATCGTGGTGTATGGGGTAGATTTGTAAAAGGGTTAATACTGTGTGGAATCATTGCTTGTTTTATAGCTGGCAACCCAGCAGCCCCATAATACGTAGAGTTGGATGTAGGTCGCAGATCCTTCTCCTTGTCCCTTTCTCTGTCACGATCTCTATCTCTGTCACGATCCCTGTCGCGATCCTTGGAACGGTCATCGCGGTCCCTGTCCCGGTCACGATCTTTCCTGAAATGAGTTCAGAGACACAGTAGAAAATGAGGCACTTAAATATTTAAATATAGAGGAGGAATTTAAATACAGCATAACTCTAAAGGTATCCAGTATAAAGTGGATACAAACCAGATCCTTTAAAAAGCCTTGCAGGCAGCTACCCAGAAGGATAAGCACCAAAGAGTAACAACAGTATGATGCACACTCAACACTAGATATATACAGATATACATGAGATATACTCATTGTACCCAAACACTGCCACAGTTCCTCTCAGTACAGGCAAGACTGAAGAAAGCCATCACATGGAGAGAGGATCGCTTTAACCCTCTTTGTTTAATAACTGTAAAGAATCAGCCGTGCATTCTAAACTTCTCAGTTCTTCCCATCCTCACTTGCTGCTCTAGAAAAATAAGATTACACTTCATAGTCTTTCTGCCCACCTACCCAAGGAATTACACTCACCCACAAAAAATTAACTCAAGATAATAAGCAAGCCACGGAAGAGAAGTTCAATTTTAATACCCCACAACTACTTGGTAGCTTTTTTTTTTTCTTTCAAGTCTTACATTTAATTCTGACTCAATCAACTTTGACATACAGGTTGCTGAGTTTGGAACTGAGACTTAAAACCAGCCACTACACTTCTCAGGATCAGATTCATTTAGGTCGGAAATGACCCTTACGATCATAGAGTCCAACTGTTATCCTAATACTGCCAAGTTGTGTAGTATCTTCTCCAGTATCACCTCCTACCACATATTTAAACAGCTTTTATGTATTCCCATTTGTTCCAAATAATAAGTAAAAAAAAAGTCATTGCACTTGCAAAACAAAACCAGCATTATTTTCGATCTCTGGCCACAGTGTTAGTGGGAGTTTCTCATTTTGCAAGTCCACGTCCTTGTTCTTGCACACAATCTCACTCCTCCTACAAACACGCACTCGCAAAAAAAAAAAAAAAAATCCCTTGTTTGACCCAAAAAACTACAGTCATATGCTTTTAATAAAAATTCCTAATTCAGGACTTTGAAACAAGCCCTGCTTTACAAAATCACCCCATCACACTTTAAACTATTTTAAGTTAAAAGATTAGTGGCATCTTTGCCTGCGAAACTGAGGATATCCTCAGCTTGGGCTCCTTTTGTGCACTAGCTGAAATCCCATCTAAAGGGCAAAACAACAAACTAAGTCAAACCAGCTTTATAGTAAGTGCACACATAAACATTTCCAGAAATACACGGAAAAAACAAAACATTTCATCCTTTACCAACACTCAGGCATGCCTGAGAGTAGAGAGCTTGTCCAAAGAAAACTGTTGGCCAACACTCCTCTCCACAACTTTTTTTGTTTAAAACATGCAGTTGGCATTCAAATATAACTGTTGAAACAATACACAAATTCCTACCTACAGAGAAGATACAGTAACCAAAACTATAATAGTACTGATTCTACAAATTTTAATTCAAAGTGTGCTGTGCACTGGAAACAACCACCACTAACTCTTCTTAAATGTAACAAATAGAGGCTTTATTTTTTTTCCTCAATCCTTCAACGTATTGTGGTCACAGAAGCTGTCAAAATACCATGTTTTTAAGACTACTTCTTTTAACACAGACCCATTGAAAATAAAGGATTACAAAACACTCCGATTACTGTCCCTTAACTCATTTGTATATAGATTTTCCTAAAGTTCTGGACACTGAACTGTCTAAAAACGAAGACCCTTTCAGAGTATTAACTTGAATTTGAGACACCCTACCTTCAACAGTACTTCTAGCACAGTCAAATGTCATACAAGTTAGAAATCTCTTCTCATTGTAAAATGGTAGGCAAATACTGCAGAACAATAGGTTCATATTCTCCCTATGAAAAAGTTACCACTGTTATAAAGTAATGGAACTAGGCTCCATTATGCTACTCTTAATAACGTGTATCACACAGAACAAAGCTTTGGACCTCCAGTTGAGTTATTTACCATCAGATTTTCAAATGCCTGCAGGTACTGGGACAAACACGTGCATGGTAAGACAGTAACATCATTAGCAAGAACAGTAAATAAAGGTATAAAAGCAATTTAATGAGAGTGTAGATTAGGGTAAAATGCAACAACACACTTCCTTGAAGGTTGACTAAGACACATTACTTACAGTTTTTGATTTGGGGGGTTTTTTCTATGTGTCTTTTTGCATATGTGTGTTTCGGAAGGATTTTTATCCTTCACTGCTATCTAGTCAAAGTATAAAAAATCCCCACACCAATAAAAAACATTCCACAAGCATTTACTTAAACAGTATGATGTCAGAAGCTCCTGCACTGCAGTCCACCCAGTGCACCTTCAGGTATGCTTCGGCCCCACATGAGGCAGCACTGCTGCTAAAATGAACAGATCCCACGTGTTGGGTCAAGCATTTCACCGGCCTTGCGAACAGGCCCCTCCACCAGAGGGAATTCTAACTCGAATCCAGTCTTGTAGCACAGTTATGTCCTGTATTGGTAGCTATTTGTATGGGTTTAAAACAAACAAAAATACAACCTCGAGAACAAAATAGTGGATTAAATGGACTACAAATACAATCCAGCACCGAAAGTCCCATTAATCCCCCATTTCTAAGTTTCTTCACTGAACTCTTAAAGCTATTTAATTGTTCAAACAGAAAGGGAATCTATCAAGTTCTATCTGTGCTTCAGAAGTAAAAAAATATTTATGTGTTAATAAAGAGAATTGAGTCTTTTTCCTACTAAAAAGGCAAAGGAGAAGCAGGGAGAACCAGATCACAGCATAGAAACAACACAACATACAACATGCATTCAAACTTACTCTTTCACACTCATTTTATAGCAACAATTTTTTTTCCTCAAACTATTCCCCAGTCTCCCCTTATTATCGAAACTTCGCAGACACAGACTCCCTTGGTCTACAAGAGGAAAGAGGAATGACAGTTATGCTGCCATATGAATTCCCTGAAATTTCTAAAAATATAACTTGGCAGTTCTTAATTTATAAACTTTCACATTTTAGTTACTTTTCATTATTGCATAGGGAAAACTGAACTCAAATCCAGAAATTAACAGTAAAATAATTAGAATTTAATCACATTTGTCTTGTGCCTGAATACTGTAACAGGCTCCATAGTCAGAAAGTGGTTGGTGTTTTTTGCTCTGCCATTAAGTGAAAAAGTCTGGTCTGCTATCTGCCTTTATTTGTTACCATTCACTCATATATAATATATGCCCACATGAATACAAAAGAAGCCCTGTAGCAATCACTAAATCAGACGATGAAAAGCACATAAAAAATAAAGATGGAAACTAAGGGCTCAAGGTAAACGACTGATCTCCACAGTGAAAGTCTAAGCACATCTAACAGAGCATCAGTGTTATCTCTCCATTACTAAACACAGCAATAGTTGATGCAAAAAAGGCAATGCAGCTAAAGGAGTTTCAGTTCTATAAGTTAAAAAGTCAAAGTACAATTAGTCTGAACGATATATCCCACTAAATAACTCTGATGTTACACAAGAACTGAAGTATATTTGCAAAATTAGCATATTTTAAAATAGAATGTATGTAATTCACACAAACACTGTAACCAAAAATCTTCTGTACAATTTCCATTTTTCCTAGAAGTCTTTTACTTCACAGATGATACTTCAAGTCTGAAGAAAACAGATGTCATAGGATGCTTAAGGCTACACCAACAATTACAAACCTGTTGGTCTGGCACTGTTGCCATGTAGAGCCACACAGCAATAGAGGAGTCCATTAAAAAGAGACTAAAACAATAGAGGGTAACTTGATACAACCTCCATATTTAATCAGGTGGTCCACTTTTAAAGCAAGATAAACTACTGCTCTGAATGTGAAGTGGTAACCATGTAAGGAGCTAATTCAGCTTAGCCCAGCTATAAAACCACCCAAATTGCATGAAGGCACTCTCCACATACAGGAGGACATGTACACACACGCTGTTAACAAAGCCCTGTGCATCTTCCTTACAGCCTTGCACAAGTTGCAAAAACCCTAAAATAAACCAACCATGTAACTTTAGTATGCCTCATGCTACATGAATTAGGATTTCAAGTACTGTAAGAAATAACCCTAGTCAGTAATTATGCTTATAGTGAGCTGTACTCAGTCCTATGCCATTTAATGCTTTTACTGACAGAGAAGGAGAGAACAAAGAAGGGACACAGGACCAGCACTTCTATAAGCTTTTAGGTGCCTTAAAAGTCAAAGTTTTCTGGTTTAAAAATGTTACCACTAGTGGGAACTCATTACAAGATACGCAAAATGGTAAGACTAACAGTTCAGCACGACATCAGATAATCAGTAAAAACAATGATAAATAAAACCACACCAAAACTATAAAACCCACAAACATACAAACAAGGAAATACTGACCTGTGGTTATCTTTACAACCAGATGTAACAGTCGCACCACATTTAAATAACGCCCAGTTTTGACACAACCACTTGAGAACTTGACAAAAATCTCTACAGACAGAAAAGCTGCACATTTACAACTTTTCCGTAGACTCAGAGGAGCTATTTCAACCTCTGGCAAATCACACAAAATTGCATCAGAGGAGACAAATAGCTCAATACACTTATTCCGAAATATATGATTATGGTGATCCTATGTACAGGAAAAAGGCGATCAATAATGCATTTTTACTTTGTTCAGGTGAGAAAAACGCAGCCGACTCCAGGGGCTAAGTGCACAAGCTCACCTTAAAAAAATTAAAAGGCAAGTTTTGCAAAAACTGCTTATCCGTCAATAGTAACAGCTACAAGAGACTTAAAGTTACTGCAAGCTTTGAGAACAAGCTCAAGTATTTTTCTTAGATAAATACTCTAGTCCAAAACAACACCGCTGGACTCTAGTAATTGTTTAACTCTCAGAAGTCTTCTGTGCTCTGTCAAGAAGGCCAAACTAGATAAACACTGTATATGTTTGTACTCCTTGAGACCTCAGAAATTTACTCTTAAGAGCCGCCCACCTTCCCTCAGCCTCCCCCCCAATTAGAGGACAAAAAATTGTGCAGAGAAGGCTCTAAAGCAACTGTGAATAAACGCACAGTACCAGTGCATTGTCTGTATTCCTGCAGTTTCATTATCCTTAATGAAAATGTGCTGAAGAGCGTCCAGTACAGTCCTAAAACTTTAACCTTCGCGAAACTAAGGAAAAAAAATCCCTCCCTTACCCCTATCCTAAAACCCACCTCAACATCGATTCTTACTTCAAGCCAAACACATCCCCGACGGTGACCGAGTGTAAGATGCTAACAAAGGAGCACAGCTCCAACCAGGTCACACGGGCTGGACTAACCTCGTGCTCATCTCTAGGCCCAAGTTTGCCAGGCCTCTCAAGGCAGAGAAGGGAAGGAGTAAACAAACATAAAAGGAAGGGGGGGAGCAATTACACGTGTAGAGGCGGCGAAGCGCTGCAGACAAAGCCCGGCGCGGGGGCGCGGGCCCGACATCCCACCGCCCCCGCCGCGGGCCCCGGCCCGGCCCGGCCCTCCCGCCCAGGCCCGCGCCCGCCTCCCTTCCCCGCCCAGCGCCGCCGCTCCAGGCCCTCCCGCCGCTCCAGGCCCTCCCGCCGCTCCAGGCCCTCCCGCCGCTCCAGGCCCTCCCGCCGCCATCCGCCCCCCCCGCGGGCACAGATGATGCCAGGCCGGGCCCGGTGCTCCGGGAGCCGCGGCGCTCCGGGGCCCGCCCGCACAGTGGCCTCTCCCCTCGCCCCGCACAGCGCTCGCCCTGCGCCCCGGCGAGCCCCAGCCGCGGAGGGGCGGCCAGAGCCGGGATGGGGCGCGGATGACGAGGGGCCGCCGCCATCCGCCCCCCACCGGCCCCTCCCCGCCGCGGGCCGCGCCGCCCCTCACCCGTCGGTGGTGCGCTTCTTGCTGGAGCTGTAGTCGTCGCCCAGGTCGAGGCGGTGGCGCTTGGACATGGCGGCGGGCGGTGCGGGCGCTCCCTCCCCGAGCGGCGGCGGCGAGGCACGGCCGACAAAATGGCGGCCGGAAGGAAGCGCCGGGGCCGCGCGAGGCGCTGGCGCGCGCGCTGACGAGCCCGTTGGCCAAAGCCCTCCCGCCGGCGCGCGCCCAACGGCCCCGCCCCGCCCCGCGCGCTCCCGCCCTGCCCCGCGCGCTCCCGCGGCATCGGCGCGAGCGGACCCGGCTGATTCCCGGGAAAGGCCCCGTCGTGGGATCGCGGGGTCACGGCACCGGAGGGCTTGGAAGAGACCTTTAACATCAGTCCAACCACCAAAGCGGCACTGCCGCGGTAACCCCTAAACCGCTGAGCCGTGTCACCAGCGCCGGATCCAGACACCTCTTGAGCACCTCTGGGATGGTGACCCCACCACCTGCCTGGGCAACCTGTTCCAGTGCCTGACCACCCCAACAGTAAAAAATTTTCTTATATCTAATCTGAATCTCCCCTGCCTTAAGGCCATTTCCGCTGGTCCTCTCACTGCAGGCACAGCTGGAAGGAGCGGCCCCCGCCTCCCCACAGCCTCCTTTCGGGATGGTTGTAGGGAGCGATGAGGTCACCCTCGAGCATCCCCTTCCTCGGACTAAACAAACACAGCTCCCTCAGCCGTGCCTCATAAGACATGTTTTCCAGAGCCTTGTGCCCTTCGCTGGACATGCCCCAGCACCTCAATGTCCTTTATAAAGTGAACACAGGACTGGAGGTGCAGCCTCCCCAATGCTGGGTACAGAGGGAAAGCAGCCTCTCCACAGCCCATCCTTAGCGAAGGATGGGAATTTCCACAGAGGGGGGTTGAGCCAGATAACTGTAATGAAAAACCTCTGTTCTAGGCCATTATAGATTTCCCCGGCAACCCTTGCCTTGTGTGTGGAAAGAGGGCAACCTTTTACAAGTCATCTGTGGCAGAAGCAGTGCTAGAAAACCAGGCACTTTAAGGCTACATGCTGTAGAAGCACGTACAGCCTTTACCCAAATGTCAACAATAAGTGTTCATGGCAATGTATTTCATGATGAGAAAATTCAGCTGTCTCTCAAAGACCCAGAAACACACTTAGCAGTGTTTGCCATTTCAGCACGAGGGAAGCCTGAGTTCATAAATAACACAAACTCCAGCAGACTTATTCAGTCCTACTGCATCCAAGTCTTCTCAGCGTGAGCATAGCTACAATAGCATTTAGTAATACAGTTCCTGAAGTGAAACAAGACATGAGTTCAAGCACCATTTCCTCATGGCAGTTAGGTTCTGCTTGAATAGTTACCGCTGTAATTAGTTGCTTTTCACACTTCCAACCAGCTTTAACTGCCAGCAGAAGCCTGCAAGCCTAAGTGTAGTCCAGAAGACTTGGTCCTTAGGGTTGTTTCTTGTGCCCCAGAGCTGTTCCCCATCTCCTGCCACTCCCAGCACCTTTTAAGAATTGGGTTAACCGTCCACACAAGAAGCATTTGTCCTGTAACTGAAGGCACAGATGTGCCTGGGCAGGAGAAGATGAAGTCAGGCAGATAATGAGATGCTTCTAATGGCCATGCCTTCAGGCCAGAAGCACACTTAGTGCTCACTGAGCAACTTCTGCTCTCACACGATTTCATTCTGCCGTTTCTGCTCCCTATCGGCACTAAGTGTCAGCAGCTGCCTCGCTTTCCAGTGCAGTCACTTGATACTTCAGCACAGCTCATAAAACCCGATCTCTAAGAGCTTCTAGAAACACAAGAGGCACTGTTCTTGATACTTCTGACAGCTATTTGGAGAATATCAACAATTGGACATTCCGTTCTCTATTCCTACCCTCTCCATTCCATGTCATGCTCCTTCAGCACCCTACAGTAATTTAAATTCATACCAGAGACAAGTAATTTTAAGATAGAAATTAAAAGCACTACCATCATATTGGTATCTCTCTTCAACTAGGTGCATTTGTTGAAAAACATGCACAATGCAAGCCTTGCTCCCTGTCCCTCTTCACAGTCCCTCTGCCAGGGATTACCACAAACTGCTCAGCTACTTGAATGAGTGCTCACTCCTGCTATCTGACTGTCAAAGCAAGGGTGCATTCACATAAATGGCTCAGCTAACAAACATGAAAGTGGTCAGGAATGATCATCTAGTAGCAGTGACCTGTTCCACAGGTACAGCCAGCTCAGCAAGTGGGTGTTTGTCCATAACTTCATGTTCCAACGACTTGATGGAATTGAGTATAACTCCTAAAATATTTCATGTAGACAAGTCCATAGATTATGTTCTTTAATAGAAGAGCATTTCTGTCCCTCATTTTGGATAATATAACAAAATGGCACCCACAGCTCCACTGTGTAATAAAAATAACATTTTTCTTTTTAGGGTTATCAACCAAAATAAATATTCCTGGAAACTGGATTTTGAGCTTTTCCTGTGAAGCTGGAAGTAATTTTTCAACTTATATTACAAAAACCACTGGAGTATCTATGTCAGAGGTTTCCAGAGAATAAGTCTTACAGAGTCACTCTCTCTATCTCAAATATCAAGCTTAGTTTTTGTCATGCTGTGATAGTGTACACAGAGCTGTGTTGGCTGAATGCACCCGAGGGAAGACTTTCTACACATCTTCCCAAGTGGATTTTAAATTATGTCTGTCTTAAAAAAAAAAAGCTAATGATTGTTGAAATAGAGTACTGGAATAGCGCACATTTAGGAGGAAAAAAAAATAGTGGCTAGGTCTCCCTGGAGAGTGGGAAAACAGAGGAAGAAGATAAAAGCATTATTTGGGATGAGAAGCTACTGCTGGGCTCTTTAGAGAAGACCCAAATGTCCAACGACAGGAGTTTGGAGAACTCTGCAGCTCTGTTACAGATCTTTATTGCTCCTCCCTATGCAGAGCAATGTAAAAGCTACTTATGGCTGTACTCTAGGTACTCCATGGCCAGCATCAGACAAGTTTCTGCCTTAGGAGGTAGGAACAAAGGAGCAGGTGTCTCAGCTGGTGTGAAATCCTAGGCTAGAGCTCAGCAACAAATGCAAAAAAGGAGGGCAGAAGATTTCATGCTAGTTGGATGAGCAGCTACTTGCGTGCTATGCCCCAGACTGATATACCACAAACTGGTTCACTCTGTTAACAACTGTTAACTTTGCAAACTCCTGAACTCATCCTCCACCCAACCATGCTTTGCACCATGTGACTGCATAATATCTGATCTGGTCCCACCCCAAAGGGTTTACAATGCAAGACCATCATCCTGCAAGCACACACATGCCTTATTTTACTAATGCGAGTAATCCTTTTAACTTCAAAGGGATTAACAAGGAAAGAGTAGGAAAACTAAGCATGTAGGTAAGTGTTTGCAGAATCACAGCCTAAATATAAGATGAGACAAGAGAAAAAAAGATTGGTAAGCACAAATTGACATAATGACAAAGTGATAAGCATTACGTCAAAAGCCTGAAGGATGAAAGGAGTGTGTAAAATAGGGTATATTTAAGCATATTTTCTGCCTTTTCAAAGGCATTTGTTAAATAAGAGGTTTTTCTTCCCTCCCCCAAGTCTTTTATATCCATCTATGAAAATTAAAATCTTAGGTTACTGAAACACAAGACATTTGTATGAGCTGCCATTTGACTATCTACTCTTCTACTCTTCTACTCTCCATTTCTTACCCTAGTTTTAAGTTCATTGGTACCAAAATCCTCTTAGCCAATTCCAGTAAAGATTTCTTCACGTTTGTTATGGGCATGATATTTAGTATGCTATTTGGGTTGAAAGGAGCATTAATGTTTAAAACTGAAACAATGGCTTAGGAGAATAGCATCCTGTCTATTTTTTTTTATCTGATTGTGCATTGCCTTGCTCCCTGAAGAATAAACATGGGGTTCAGGCAAGCCATCATTCAAAGACCCTGGAACTTCCACCCTGGATCAGGTGAGGTTTCTGACATAGAGGTTTAGTGTCATAGTGTCACAGTTTAGGTTATTATTGCCCAAGGCTAATTGCTTCACACCTTTTCTAAAAACTACCAAGTCTAACTCCTATTTTGTATGAATCTACAAAACATTATATGAAAAATTTCCTGCAAATGAATTCAAATATTAAAATTAAGCATTTATGATAATTATAACTGCAATCACTGTTTTAAAATTGTATATATGTATATAAAAATGGGTAATGCCCTTTGAAAATTATGCAGGAGCCTAAAGTGCAAATGCTTATCACAGACAAGCTCTCATTCTATCCTTCCCCACCAAGCCCATGTGAATAAATGGATATTATCCTCATGTTCTGTCATATCATCAGAGAAAGAATCCTTGAGACAAGAACCCACAATCAGAGCATGTAAAAATGTCAGACTTCCACATCTTTTAAATTTAAAAATATGAAGATGAATACATGAACTGATCTCAATTTCTTCAGTGAAGAAAAGAGACAGCTTCTCTGTAATTACAGAAGCTAAACTTTGCAACACTTCAAGTATATATAAATCAGCACTTTGAATTGCTCTGGGAAGTACACTGTAGGAAGCCAGCATGGCAACAGCACTATTGCCATGACAGCAACTTTATCAGCCATACAACCACCCATCTGAATTTTGTGAATGGTTATTAAATTTTATCCCATATAGAACACGCCCCCATGACTGAGTCTGCAGGTCAGAAAGGTCTAAATAACTTCAGTAAAGTTTCATAAAGAAGAAAAATAAAGAGAGAGAGGAAGAGAGAGAAGGAGAGAAAGATTGCAGCTTTTGTATCTATTACAACGTTAAAAATCAGAGTAAAAAAATCACTTTTTAAGACAAACCCCACTCTCTAGAAGGAAACACATTGTTGTAGACAACCAGCTGCTATTCTGAGCCCCTCAGTCACCTGCTAAGGCCTTATGATCACCTTTAATCCCCTCAGAGAAACCCTGCAAGAGCAGGTATTCATTATGTGCTTTGAATAGAAATGGAAAAAAATTGTGTAAATCAAACCATCACCCCCAAGTAAATTAAGTCATATGTCTAATTAACGTGAATTATACACAGAATTCACACATTGTTCTCATAACTTCTAGGTCCTCATGGTTGA